TGTCATTCAACAACAAAAAGAAAAGACTCGGAAGATCCCCCAGCCAACCAGGTACTGTGCCTGTGAGTCTGTTAAAAGACAAATCCAGGACTTCCAGTTTCCTGAACTTTGAAATCCATGCAGGTATTTGACCTGTCAACAGCCATATAAACTGAAAGCACACAGATTTTGTAACCTGAAATCGACAGTTATATCTCCATCTGGCATTTCTTCACTTCGAAAATTTTCTGAAAGAAGGAGCACCCTGAGACTTCTGAAACGTGTAAATATCTTCATTGCCCCCGTGACATTGGTGAGTCTGTTACGAAAAAGCGAGAGGAAGGTCAAATTTTTCAATTGAAGAATCTCAGGTTGGATTTGTCCCTCGAAATCATTTGAACCCAGTCGAAGTGCTTTGAGGGACTTGCATGAGTAAAGGCTTATTGGTAAGATACCAGTGAGTGCATTATTTATAAAATCTAGCTTACTAAGTTGAGTAAGTTTAGAGAAGTCGAGCGCAGAGATATTCCCACCAAAATGGTTGAATCCCAGATTTATTTCAACAAGGTTTGTGCAATTCATCAAAGATGGCGGTAGAGGACCTTCTAGATTGTTGTAATGAAGGTGCATGAGCTTTAATTTGGAGAGCTTCCCAACATTCTCACCTATGGGTCCGAAAAGGCTATTAGTAGATAGTGAAATTTCTTGAAGGGCTTGAGCATTGTAGATATCAGCAGGAAGGGACCCTGAGAGAGTGTTGTCACGAGCACGAAAGACCTCCAATTCGGAACAGTTTCCTAGTCCTAGAGGAATTGAGCCACTGAAAATATTGTGGGAGAAATCCAAGACTCTAAGCAAAGAGGAAAGAAGACAGATAGGGGATGGTATTTGGCCTGTAAAATGATTATAGCTGACGTTCAAACTGCTCAAATTCCGGGCATCCTGGAGGAATGAAGATGGAATTCTTCCGTTAAACTGATTGCTGGATAAATCCACCATCTGGATATAACTTGATGATAGAGATGATGGTAGTTTTCCGGATAAATTGTTTTTGCTCAAATCAAGGATCTGAAGGCGAGTCAAGGTCAAAAAAATTCGAGCCTCAAGAGGACCGGAAAGCATATTGTGGGAGAGGTTGAGATGCGAAAGATGTGTGAGGTTTCCAAGAGAGCGAGAAATGCAACCTTTGATACCTTTGGAAGGCAACAACAAATGAGTTACCCTACCAAACATATCACAAGTGATGCCCTCCCATCGGCAACAATCTTTGGAAGACCAGTTTAAACTGGAAGAATCAATATCAAATGAAGACCGAAGAGAGTGTTGATCAATTTTTTGGCATGCGGGGGTTGTAGCTATGAAACTTGAGATGAAAAATATGAAGAGGAGGCCATATGAAATTTGAAGGGCCATGTTTGTATATTTGATTGCTCACAAGTTGGTTATATATAACACACTGCTTTGTTTAGACTATAAGGGCTAGAAACATCGAAACATGAATCATGCTTCTTGGCAGATGCATGCGAAGAATATAAAGCACATGAGTTGTACTATGTACCTGTATATGATTCCTGTTGCCTAGCTAATCTGCCCACCGGCCAGGTGAAAAACGATTTTAGCCTTTAAGTTCCACGCTAAAACTAAGTGGGTTTAACGGACTAGCTGTAACTCCTACTAAGCCCATGAAAGAATATTCCTTAACTTTCCGATGTGGTACAAGTCATCATATCCTCACTGCCGGTCGTGTTGTAATGCTGAGTTCGTTCACGGTTGGTCACTCTCCGCATTGCCAGTTGATTTTGGAATTGGAACCTCAAAGTTCTTCAGTCATGAGGAGCTACAGGACTAAGGAGTAACATCAGGTTGGTTGGGCTTCAGAATTGTCAACAATACCAAGTTTTCCACAGCCACCTTGGACTATGACTCAAAAGCACTTTCATAATTCACCTTTGAACAAAACGTGTTCTGCATTGATTGTAAACCATTTGCCTGAAATTTAAGTCCTCTTTAGCTTGTCGATTAAACAAGAAATTAAGCCCTCGAACAAGAAAATAGAAAAGAAGAAATTGGGCCACATTCAGGACAAGTTCCCGAACTTCCTTGTGAGCATGTTGAGAGTTTTGTGACCGTTGGATTTCAAAAAATTGATGGTGGATTATTTGTATTAATCATTTGTATTAATAATGATTGATATAGTGATTTCATATAGGAGAGACTTATTTTGAGGCTAGACATGGCAATACAGTTACGATCCAAGAACGTATTAGTGAGTGGGTTTTTAGGTTCAACCTATACACGAGATATATGATTTTTGAAAGGGTTTTTATGAAATATCATGTTATCATGACAATGTTTTACTCAACGAATGCAAATATTTTATATATTGAAGACGTTATGATTTATGTGTTTTGTAAACATTATTATGGCATGATCATACATCTTTTATTAGCTCATCATGTATGTTAAACCGATGTCTATAGTACTGTCTGGGATCATGACCAACTTCACGTGTATGTTCACACTGCACGTTATGCTTACTTTGGATTTATGTAGTTCCAGCCTTTACTAGTTGCATTTAGCTTTCAAGCCTGAAGTGGGATGTGCCTTGCACCACCTTCACGTGTATTTGTACTTGAGCGTAGATTTATACACCCAACTTGTTCATGTTAGAGTGTCCTCCCTTGGATGAGCTGTTTTATTTTTTTGTCAAACCTTGGGTGAGCTCGTTTGTTTTTTCTTATGAGAATATTATATCATACTAACTATATTTGAGTTTTATTGTGATATAAATGTATTCTTTAAATTTATTTTTGACAATAATCGAACTTAAGAATTTTTACTTTATAAATAAAGATGAATACCACTAGACAGTAGCAATCTACGAGTGTTCTTGAATTAACTGGTTTAATATTAATGCCTTAGTTTTGATAATTATACGTATGATTCTTTTTCTTGGAACAATATACGTATGATTTTTAAAATTTATGAGTTTTACAGAGAGACTCGGGTTATTATGTTCCGAAAAGCAAGGTTTTAGAAAACTATGCCAAGTCCAGGTGTACCAGTATTGGCACTCTCATCCACCAAAAAACACACTCATCAGCTACCCCAACAACTTCCTCTCTCTCTCTTCCTCCAATGTCAAACTGTACGGTGGAGCGCTGCACAGTTGAGACCAGCGATGGAGTCAAGCTCAGCACAAAGCTCTTCAAACCCGGAGAAGAAGAAGAGATCAAGAAGGGCAGCCCTGTGGTGGTTCTGGTGCACCCATACTCCGTCCTTGGCGGCTGCCAAGGCCTGTTGAGAGGAATAGCAGCTGGGTTGGCAGACAGAGGCTATAAAGCTCTGACCTTTGACATGAGAGGGGTTGGGAGGTCAACAGGAAGGGCCTCTCTCACTGGGTTTGCAGAAATTAAGGATGTGATTGCTGTGTGCAAATGGGTTTCTGAGAATCAATCAGCTGACAGGATTTTGTTGGTGGGTTCTTCTGCAGGTATAATAATTTTGAATTTTTGTGCTCTTTTAGAATATGTTTCTGCAATTTTTATTGGATTAAGCATGTTGTTTATAAATTAAAGGGTGTGTTTTTATGTAGATGATTTTTTGGATCTGTGGATTGTATATTAGCTTGTGGTGGTTTAAAGATTGCTTCTTTGATTGGTTTGGTGAATGGTTTTGTGGATCTGTAATTTGGATATTAGTTTGCGAAGTGATTAGAGTGTTACGTAGATAACAACTAATTACTTTGTGAAGCGTCGTCGAAAAATTAAAGAAGGCTTTGGATTTGAGGGAGAATTGATGATATGAGGCTAGGATTTAATTGGTAATGTTAGTTATCCCATTTAAGTGTGATGCAGTTGGGATTTCATTTGGTAATGTTGTTTGGAGTATTTCTGACTTTCGTGTTGCTGATCGAACTGTCCTTCGATCATTCAAAAGTTTGGATTTTGATCACATTCAAAGCGAATATAAGTATGATGAAAAATGTTATGTGCAACTATGATGGGTTTCTCTAGCTCTACTGGAGATTGTAAATGTTGTAAAAGATGATAAATGATGAGAAGCCTAAGTTTCTAGTAATTGTGAAGGACTTGAGCTATGATTGGATAAAGTCTAGTGTCGTTGTAATTTCGAACAGCCTCTCACTGCTGCTCCTTAACTTCTTGTTCTGAATTGCGATTTTTGGTTATCGATGTGTTGTTTATGCTCTCTACTAATTGCAATATGAAAATCAATACGTAAGTAAAATCACAAGGTCAATCAGTTTTGGTGAGAAATAGATGGTTTTTTTTTTTTCTGCAAATAATCTTGTGGTAAACTATGAAGCATGATCTAGGATCTTTCTGGTATGAACCGCACATAATTGTTGTGGACATGGTCGGAAAAATATAAGATGTTATTCATAGTCCCGTCTGTTTTGTTCGTTTTATGATCATTCGAGCTGGGGGTAACATAATTTCCTCATATGTTCTATAATTTCCCTATGTTATGGTGTAGGTGCCCCGATTGCAGGCTCTGCGGTAGATCAGGTTGAACAAGTTGTGGGCTATGTTAGTCTGGGGTATCCTTTCGGCATGCTTGCCTCAATCCTTTTCGGGAGACACCACAAAGCCATACTACAATCCTCGAAACCCAAACTTTTCGTAATGGGGACACAGGACGGGTTCACGAGCGTGAAGCAGTTAAAGAACAAGCTAAGTTCTGCAGCCGGTCGTGTTGAAACACACCTGATTGAAGGAGCAGGCCACTTCCAAATGGAAGGCCCTGCTTATGATGCACAGATGGTGAATCTTATCCTTGAATTCATTGCATCATTGTAGATAATCAACCATGTGTAATGGAGTTTTCTATTTCAGAACTGATCGGAGCTCTCCGCATCGATCAGATTCTCTCCGTTTGCAGTGTGCTGCAGTTGTATGTATATGCTAACTTGTAATCGTGTGTAATTTGCAGGAGCTTAGTTGGTTTGCTATGTGCTTTTGGTGTAAAATTAAGCTGCTGTCTCAACAAATACGAGAAGAGAGTCGTTAAATCAATCTTTAGAGTCAAGTGTCATCCAGTACAACCCCGAAAACATAATTAAGGTTAAACTAAAACTGAAACGAAGCCTAACGCTTACACTAATCGTTCACTTGATTCGACATCAAATCCGAATATGGCACAAATACTACAAGCAGGCATATATCATATGTCGTCGCTCTCAAAACGTTGATCATCGGATGCAATTCTGCCGTCCCTGGTCATTTTGTTGCCATTTGAACCATCAACTGCCCGACCTTCAGCCATTTCGTCATACTGCCGTTTTCTCCATCCTCGTTCTTGGTCTAGTGATTGTCTTTGGGAGAATGTATGTTCATCTGTTTTGAAGCCAAAGAAGGAAGAAAAAGGGCACATTGGTCATCAGCAAAAGTTAATAAGACGTTGCGCAGCCGTGCTGCTTCAGAGATACATTCACTGCAATAATACATAATACATCCATTGTAATTTTTGGAAAAATATATACGTAATACAGCAGCGAGATGACCTTGATGTTAAAAATTACACAAAGTTTAACTGTAAAGTTGTACACAGTAAGTACCAAGTCAAATCTGACTAATAAGGACCAAAGATACAACATAAGGCAGTGGAGCTTTATTATGTATTATAGAACATGGGTTATATGCAATTAGTTATTACCGCTTTCAACGTCAGATGCATCTTCGAGTCTTGCAATTGCATCGACCAGTGCCTGTTCATGCTCCTGCGTTTTATATAAACCATTAAAATCCCGACAATAAAAGAACATCATGCAAATAAAGCGTAAAAGATGCTTGAATTCTTGAATTCATACTTTGAGAACTTTCTTGGCTTTCTCAATCTCCATGGGGTCAGGATGGCTGGCTCTGAAAACCTTTTCCACCTGTAGTTTCAAGCAAAGCGGGAAAAACAAGTTACCACCAGGTAATTGGAGGAAAAGCAGGGAAGGAAAAACTTAAATCATCATACTTATACCTCTTTAATCAACGAGTCTGTATGAAGTATTTCAATATCGCTCATTGCCTTCCTGCCAATGCCATTTAGTTGCGGAGGCAAATCCTTCTTGGAACCCTTTGCAGTCCCTCTACCTCTTCCTGCACCTGAAACTGCACCACCACGTGCCGTGGACTTTTTATTCCCTCGGCCAGGTCCAGGTCCGGGTCGACTGCCTTTACGAGAAATCCCAGGACCATCAGCTTCCCACCGAATATCTTCAGGAGATATCTATATCATTAGAAGGAACAACAACAATTAGCAAAAAGCGATCGGGAAATGAGCTCACAAGGCAAATCACAAACACAATCTAATGGGCCACAAGGTCCACAACCCATTACACTGTCAGTACAATGTTAAGCAAGTATTCGATCTCCCACCACCTTTGTTCATCCCTACTTTCTCCACATCCCAAGGACAAAAAGTGAAAACTAAAAACTAAAAACTAAATGGTTATCAAATGGACCCATGGTAAAATAAATAAGAACACTGCTCAATATCAAAAAGCACAAACTTTTGACATGATGATTTACACGCTGATAATGAGGTAACTCAAAATCAATCTGCATTTGTAGCTTTATTATGAATAAAATGGTTAAGGAATTGAAAAAATTAGCATAGAGTACAGATTTAAGTTTAAATATCTGCAAAAACAAGCACAGAAAAGCAAAGTACCTCAGATTCTCCTGAAGTGCTATAAACCCACACAAACTCATTTGTCATAATGTGCAAAAACAAAAATAAAAACTTTGATTTTTGAGATTTGAAATTTAAATATTTTATGAGACAAAGAATATATCTTTGGTAAACAAAAGGATTAAAGGCCTACGAAAGAAACAACAATCAATAGCAGTATACCTCTTTTAGATTGACCCATTCCCATGTCTCATCCACTGTACCAATATCATAAACCAGAGCATGTAGCCCCTGTCAACATTTGAGAATTGTTGGAATTCACGAAGATTTTTATTGGAGTTGTGTGGTCAAAACTGCTAAATTAAAAAATGCTTACTCAGGTTCAGATGAATTCACAGCAAGAGCATACCTCAGCACGGTTGAAATTAGTTATAACAGCCTCATAGAAGTGATTGTCTTCAGGCCACCTTGTCCAAACTTTTCTTCCTACTAACGGATCATCAGTTTCACCCTCAGCAGGCTCATTTTCCACAAAGGCACCGGCGGGACCTCGATTAGTGGCTTGGGGCCTTCCAGGAATATTTGCGGAAGGGTACTGTGAGGACTTCAAAAGCGGGCAACAAACTCCATTAAAGAACAGGGAAAAACAAATCAAGAATATATGAATAGCATTGCACCATTTTCTTAACCCAGGATTATTTCAACTTACAGATTTTGGTTTCTTGTTCCGAGGTCCTGGAGGAGGACCTCGTCTCAAAGCTGCAGAGGATTGTTGCATGGATGGAGGCAATGCAGGAGTTGGAGCACCAAGGGATAAGGACTGTGATGTTTTCTGTTTCTTGCGTGATGCTGAAACAGTTGGACTAGGTAGGGGGTCATGAACAGGCTGAGCAGCATTAAGTGTACCATGTTGAACCCCACTTGTTTTTCTCCATTCCCTAATAGCATACGGTAAAACATTTCTCATAAAAAAATGCAGAGCCATCCAAATGTATTTGCTGTTCAAACCAACATGGCATAATATAATCAGACCTTAATCTCTGGATCATGTCATCGGCATTGACCCTGGACAAAAGTTCTCTGTGTTCCTCATCAGATACTCTCAGCTCCTTTCTAAGTTCCGTAATTAAAGTTTCCTTATCCTGTAAAGTACATAAGAACTGACTTTCAGGCCTAAGTTAACACAATCATACTTTTGATCCAAAAGAAAAGCGGAAGAAAAACTGCGAATAATTAATCAAACAGCTACCCAGGTGAGGGCATCAGATTGAGCACTAAACGCCCTTAGAACTGAACAGTATGCTTCTTGCTCAATGCGGTGAATCTGGATTTCCATGTCACCATGCATCCTAGATAATGGAGCAGAACCGACGGCTGCTGACCTTCCATTCCCAGAAGTTCGGCCACCTCTTTGAAACCTATTTTGATGAGACGGCGGAAGGTCATCATCCGTTCCTGCAAATGTTTCAGAACATAGCAAACTATTATTTCTAGCTTCAGTAACAAGTCTATTAGGTCTTTCAAGAACTTTGCAATAGGAAACCATGGAATCCCTTTCATTTCTAAGGGCCTTGTCCCCGCCAATAGCCACCTTTTTCAGTTATAGACATGTCTATATGCATGCAACATATTTAGCAGGCTATTTCTTGTATCTGTGCCTCACAAAGTATGCACAAACTATATGTATATAGGAAATATGGATCTTATATTCCAGACAAACCATGTAAGAATGCATACCTTCCTCAAATGTATCGTGACACTAGCGAAAAGAGAACTAAAATTGTAAATCACATCAACATTTTCTGATAATACAGAAGATGGGTTCTAGATGCATGCACAGTCCCCTAAAAATGTTGCTTTAGCATCCAAGAGTAGTACCAATGTTAAATAAACAAGAAAAAGGAAAAAGAAAGATACCTTGGTTACAAAGTTAAATATTTTGCTAATTCGGAAAACTAACTATTGCTTTTCTCATTGTTGTCATGCAACGGAACAAAACAGCTTTGCAGGTATTTATAACAGAAACATAATCACTCTCATGCCCAAAATGCATCTTTCACTATTCCTACACTAAACTAACGCATCCTTTTGTTAAAATATGTTAAACTAATATAAGCCATAATTTTCAGCCTTAATTGCCAACTTTTCTGAATAAAACAAACCAACGACAAACACACAAAACGTGACCAATATATAACAAACTCTTTAACTTAATGCCGATCTGTTACTTTTCTCGCACCATCAGCCTTTTTCTCCTACACAGTGACCTTGGCTATAAACGGAATAATAGGACCTAACTACCATTGACAAAATTCCACAGAGGAGAGTTACAAGTGACTTTTCTCAAAGGATGAAACTGAAACAATTCCAAGCACTATTCACAAAAAAGTAAATATCATTCAGGGCGTTCACCCAGTGCTCAGAATGCAAAACACAAAGTTTAAAATGCTAAGCAAGATCAACTTAAAGATGTGATGAATGGGATTTCCCGAATCGGAATCAATCTCCAGAACATAATGACACCAAATTACATGTTGTGGGCGAACTTGTAACTCTTACATGGTGCTTCCAAACCAACTTATACCAACTAAAAGAAAGAACAAAGCCAAACACAAAATCCTAGTACCTCCGAGCACAAGTCGGGTACACTACATTACAATAAAGGCGAAGCACAAGACGGAACACAAGCCAAACTACATGACAATAAACTTTCTTCGAATTCAACCATGGTAGACCAAAGTAGTACAAATTCAAGGAAATCCCACAAAAATAATGAATTCACAGTAAAAAACGAACATCAAGAGCAGTAATCAAACCCAAATTCACGACTTTGAGTCAAAATTACTCTGAGAACCAATAAATTACACATTAGAAAAACAAAAATACATAAAAATCAAAATTGAAAAACAGATAAGCATATTCAACTTAGCTTACCACTGCTATCTGAGAGTTCGTAGTCCATCACCGCTCCTCAAAACCAAGACTTTCGCTAAAACCCTAGCAAACCCACGTCAAACCCGATCAATTCAGCAAACCCACGTCGGAAATTCGATCAATTTCATCGAGAACTTGAACTTGTACCTACTGGTACCCTCCAAAACAGATAAATTCGCAAAATTTGACCCAATTTTAGGACAGCACGGTCCCAAAACCTCAAAGAAGTTGAAATTCGGGCCCCAAGAGCGGTGACGATCGATTGACGTCAATGGGAGCGAAATGGGAATGGAATACCTGTTCTAATTGTGGGGCGTAACTAGAATTTCGAAGAGTTGTGGGGTAAAAAGAGTGGGGATTGGACTTGGAGTGTGAATTCGAAGAAATTGAATTCCGGCAGAGGGATTGGAGATTGGAGATAGGTCGGGAGGGAAGTCGCGGACTTCAAACTAGTTATTGTGGCGCCTCAATGTTTTCAGTTAATAATTCAGTTTCAGTTCCGTGTTTCCTATTGGCTGATGGTTTTTCTTTTACTTATGTTAATTAATAATTTGGGAGGTGTTATTAGTACTTCAAAAATTCATTTACACTCCTCACAAATGTATTTTTCTTTCAAATATAGAAAGTTATGAGATTTTTGGAGTGCCAATAACAATTCTCAATAATTTTTATTTTTATGTTTTTAGCATAGTGTTATTCACACACTTATTCTTTATCTCATACACACCTTTACCAAATGTTATTATTTTATTTATTTGATCCGATGACTGAAAAATTGAGAAAAATATGTGAGAAGAAAAATGAGTATGTAGATTGCATTATCTTCTTTTTTTTTCGATTACCCACCTGGCGCTCAAATGTAGGTTTCACATATGAGCCATGTTAGCAAACTAAGCGCTAGTTTGGAATTGATGTGTTTTAGAGAAAAAAAAAAAAAAAACTACTTCTCATGTTCTTTGAGATAATCAACTATAAAATAAACCAATTGAGTGTTTGATAAACTGTATTTTTAAAACTTTGTGAGTATGAAAAGTGGTGTAAACGCATGGTACATAATGATACAACATACATTGTATGGGGGTGGTGGCAACGACAAAGATGACAAGGTAGTTGCAGTGATGACACCAACAATAGTGGGGGTGTATTGGTAGTGCCATAATAAAGTGGTTGGATTGTAGAGGCGGCAGCGATAATGGCAACAATTATAGCGTTATTAGTGTGACAACGGTGGTGGTGGTGATGGCGACAGTGTTGTAGGTTCGTGGATGTAGTCGTAAGTTGTGGTGATGACAATGGTAGCAATGGCAGTAGCATTGGCGATGTGGGCTCGCGGGGGTGATGGTTATGACAACAACAATTGTGAAAGTATGGTTAGGTATCAATAGAGAAGAGTGTGGTTGGGATGTATAGGTTACAATGGTGGTAGAGGGGTGGCAATGGTGATGGCAGTAGTGATGGCAGGTTTGGTTATGGTGGCATCAATGGTGGCGATTATGGTGACGGTAATGAAAATCGTTGACATACTCAACCCGATTAACCATTAGACTAAAGGTAGAGATTGTAACAAAGCAATAAGTAGAGTTTTAAAAGTACTAGAACCAACAAGTTAAATTAATTAAAAGCAACTAAAATTATCCCGCAAGAAACGTAAAACTACAAACAACCTCTCCACTTGAGACACAATAGAATTTTTCTCCTTAAATACATGTCACAAGTTCAGAGTATAACAGTAGTAAATGCAACAGTGTTTGCAACCAATCATGCATTGTGCAAACACAATCATAGATTTGGTTATTTATTAGTAAGTAAGATTACCCTACTCATATCCTAACGAGAGATGCATTGCTGCCAAGCCCGCTCATAGTCGTCAATTGCTGCTTTTGTCTCACTAAATTTCGGGAGGAGGGGAGGAGGATAATGTGTGGGTGAATCATAGTCATTTATTTACAATGCATTTAATTTTATTTATTTATTTATGTAGTTTGAATTTATAATTTTTTAAATTGTTTTATTTTATTACAAAATTGTACTTTTAAGCAAAGAAAAACCCCAAAATTTTATTTAACAGAAGAAAATGCAAATCATTTCGCATTTCTCCTCACTCTCCACACTTCCCCTCCCTCGCCTCTCTCTCTCCACCGCCCTCAACCTCCGCCGTCGCCCTTCCAAATTCCCATTTTACCCCTCCAATCACTTCGAAATTCCCAGGCTGCCCCTCCTCGCATGCAACCTCAGCTCCGGCCGCAGCCAACAGCAAGCACCCATGGACTCACCCCCGCCGCAGGCCGCCGCGTCGGTCGACTCCGTGACACATGATTTTCAGAATCAGAGCTTGGCCAGCGACGGCGGCGATGAGAAGATTTGCAAGAATGAAAGCAACGGTGTAAGTTACACTCAGAGGGTTAGGTTGAAGCTCGAAGATCTGAATTGGGACAACTCGTTTACCAGAGAGCTGCCTGGTGATCCTCGGACCGATACGATTCCGCGAGAGGTTACCTTGTTTTTCTGTTCTGTTTTGATGTTTGGGTTATTTTCTGTTTGGTTGCTGAGAAATGGAGGAAAGGAAAGTGTATCGTGTATATTGGGTGTGTGTTTGTTACTAGCTAAAGGCTTTCACTTGCGTTTTTGTTTCGTACCCAAATCGGAGAAGTTGTTAACTTTAATCATAAATGCTTAGTAAATTGTAGTTACTCAATCGAGAAATGGCCAAGTAACTTACGATTTGTGTGTTGTGAACTGGGTTCTGTTTGGTTGCTGAGAAAGTGGAGGAAAACCAAATAAGAAATTGAAACATATGTGCGGTCTGTGTGTGTACTAGTTAAAGGCTTGCATTTACTCTTTTGTTTCATGCCCAAATCAGAAAAATTGTTAAATTTATGCATAACTGCTTTGGAATTTGTACTTACTCAATCGAGAAATTGCTGAGTGGCTGACAGTTTGGGTGTTGTTAGTTGGGTTAGTTTAATTTGGCTATGGAACTGTACCATTGATAGGTTTGATTGTGATTTCATTTCTTGCTTTGAGCTCCAGTTTGATTTTTACTAGCTGAGGGGGTGATGGCGATGCGTTGTAATTAGAATCGTGGTAGTCCGAGAGCTACTTCTTATCAAGTTCACTTAATTTGGCTGTGGAGCAGTGCCATGATAGTGTTTATTGTGATAGATCTCTTGCTTTGAGCTATAATTTGAAATTTTTACTAGCTGATGGGGTATTATGTTGTAATTTGATGTTATGCATTCTGGGTTTTGATTATCAGGTGTTGCATGCTTGTTATACGAAAGTGTCCCCGTCAGCTGAAGTTGAAAATCCTCAGCTTGTTGCATGGTCAGAATCCGTTGCTGAGCTTCTTGATTTGGATCCTACAGAGTGAGTGTTCTTGTTTCTTGTGCTCCCGGGAACATCAACTGTTAATGCTTTTATAGAACATGGATGAGAAAATAAACTTTATCTTAAGAGTGTTTGGTGGTATCAGAAAGAAAGAAAAACTGGTGTTTTGACAGCATATATTATGGATAATGGTTTTGATGGTCCTTGGAACCTGAATCTGTTTCTACCTCTACACAAGAACCTTATGGTTGGTACTTTAGGAAATTACATCAGTGTGTAAATAACATGACACTACCATTTTAACTTGTAACTGGAAATATGGTTAATTAGTGCCCCAGATAATTTATACATTTGGAGTTGCTAAATTTTCACATGTTTTTTAAGATTCGTGTTATTGATTGAAATTTCTTTTCTTCGAGTTCTGATATTTAGCTGGGGTTATTGTTTCCTTTGTACATGTGTTTTGCATCTTGTATGACTGCTTTGGTTTCGGACTTGCTGTACCTAAACCTTGACTAATATACCATAGTACTTCACTCTGATGAATGATGAGTACATATGTTTTGCACTTGTGGTATGTCATGGTTCATGGGACTAATTTTCCACCTTATTTGGAGTTACAGATTTGAAAGGCCAGATTTCCCTCTTTTATTCTCTGGGGCGTCTCCCTTGGTGGGATCGTAAGTGCTTCTCTGAATATTATGTTATGAGGCTCACATTTGTGCTTGTCAATTTTCATCAACAACTGGATCGTAACTGCTTTATTTATGCAGGTTACCCTATGCTCAATGCTATGGTGGACATCAATTCGGCATGTGGGCTGGACAGTTGGGAGATGGACGGGCTATTACTCTTGGGGAGGTTCTTAATTCTAAGTCTGAAAGGTGGGAACTTCAGCTTAAAGGTGCTGGAAAGACTCCTTACAGTCGGTTTGCAGATGGCCTTGCAGTGCTTCGTAGTAGCATTCGGGAATTCCTTTGCAGTGAAGCAATGCATAATCTTGGAATTCCAACAACACGAGCTCTCTGTCTTGTGACAACAGGAAAATTTGTCACGCGTGACATGTTCTATGAGTATGTTAATTAGAACTCTATGCAATGAGTATTTTTCTACCTAATCATGTTTTACTACGAGAACCATACACCATCTTTACTGGATAATTTCTCTTTAGTCTTTGAGATAAAAGAACCTTCTCGGTTTGATCGTATGCTAAGATATCAATATCTTGCTTGGGGAAAGGATGAATTTTTTAGGAATATATGTTCTTCTTATTCTCTTCTTAAAAGAAATTCCTCATGTCTTCATTTGCAGTGGCAATCCAAAAGAGGAGCCTGGTGCAATTGTTTGCAGGGTTTCTCCATCCTTTCTGCGTTTTGGGTCATACCAAATACATGCCTCTAGAGAAAAGGAGGACCTTGAAATTGTTCGTGCTCTTGCAGACTATGCCATTAGGCATCACTTTCCTCATATAGAGAACATGAGTAGAAGCGAGAGTTTATCTTTCAACACAGGCAACGAAGAAGTTCTTGATCTGACATCTAACAAGTATGCAGGTAATAATTTTTTCTTTGGAGTCAAGGTGTTGGTGCTGGTGCCTTAATTTACTTTCAATAAGACAGGATAAACTATTTATTGTGGAAGCGTAATGAATCGGAACTTCAGTTTACAAGTGTTGTATAAGTTTACTGGTCATAACTTTGTCATGTTGTGCACCTTCCTATGGTCTTATCCCATGGCATTATGGTAGTTTATTTTTCATTTTTCTCTAGAAAAACCATTTGGGTTGATTTAGGATTGAAGCACTTACTTAGGATTTAGCTTCCATACATTTCCTTCATGTATGCCTGCATTCGTAACTATAGAAGTTCAATTTTCTTTTTTCTTCTTTAGAAAACCATTTGGATTGACTTAGATGCCAAACACCTATTTAGTACACTCAGTTGACAGTTGCAGAGTCCTAATTGGTTCAGTAGTTTTGTAGGAAGTTTTGTATTCCGGCCAAGTTAGTAGTGTGGTGAGCTCCCATATTGGGCATGGAAAGTGATTAAGATGGGATGGTATCTCTCTTGTATGCAATGTACACTTTGGACTAATAAAAATGGCTTCAGGTTCTGTTAAAAGCTAATACGAATAGGGACGAAATATCTTGTTTTAAAGTTGCATCCATAGAGTTTCTTCATGGAACTGAGTGAAGACTCAAATCAGATGTCTGCTGTTGATACTGTGGTCCATGCTGGAGCACATTACACAGGGACCATCTTATTATATTAATAGAACTTAGTCATTGTGTTTCACAGAATGAAAAAAGAAAAGAAAAGAGACGATTTGATACATCACCAGTTTCTGTTTAGCTTGTAAAGTTTTAGTGCTAAATATGTTATGCTAGGTTTGTACCAAATGTGGTTACGACTATTGTACTGAACCTTGGTCTTTTCTCTCATCTACCCGTACTGCCACTCCGAAAATAGTTTCTGATAGACGTCTTGCACATCATACTTAATTAGTTGTTTTTCTGAACTTTTGCTCCCATCATGGTTTTTTAACAGCTTGGGCAGTAGAGGTTGCTGAGCGTACTGCTTCCTTGGTTGCCAGATGGCAGGGGGTTGGTTTTACTCACGGTGTGTTAAACACTGACAATATGAGCATTTTGGGTCTTACCATCGATTATGGTCCTTTTGGATTTCTGGATGCATTTGATCCACGTTACACGCCGAATACCACGGATCTTCCTGGGAGGAGATATTGTTTTGCAAATCAGCCAGATATCGGCTTATGGAATATTGCACAATTCACTAGAACTCTGGTAGCAGCCAAGTTGATAGATGATAAGGAGGCGAATTATGCAATGGAAAGGTAATTGTCATTCCTACACCTCTATCCTAATTAAATGTATGTTGAAGTGGGAGTTAATTTTCAATTTTCGGGGGATTTTTACAGATATGGAACCAAGTTCATGGATGACTATCAAGCTATTATGACTAAAAAACTTGGTCTCCCCAAGTACATTAAACAGCTGATCAGTAAACTTCTGAATAACATGGCCATCGACAAAGTGGATTACACAAACTTTTTTCGGCTGCTATCCAATATCAAAGCTGATCCCAACATTCCCGAAGAGGAGTTGTTGAACCCACTAAAGGCTGTTCTATTAGATATTGGGCAGGAGCGAAAGGAGGCATGGATCAGCTGGGTGAAAATCTACATAGAGGAGGTATGATGAACCCTGGTTTTCTTGTAACTTCCACCTCGGAAAAGTATATTGGTTTGATACCAACATTGTATTCATCGTAAACATTGTTTTCGCTCAGAATATTGTTAAACTCATCCAGTGGCTAGATTCTCGTCAAAAGCGAACATTATGTCATCTGATTTTCTCACAAATTATAGTTTTTGTTTGTGCAGCTGGCCAGTAGCGGCATCTCCAATGAGGAGAGGAAGGCATCAATGAATGCAGTGAACCCTAAATATGTTCTCAGAAACTACTTATGCCAGAGTGCCATTGATGCAGCTGAACAAGGTGATTTTGAGGAGGTTCGGAGGGTGCTTAAAGTAATGGAACGACCATATGATGAGCAACCGGGAATGGAGAAATACGCTCGCCTGCCCCCGGCGTGGGCTTATAGGCCTGGAGTTTGCATGCTATCTTGCTCTTCATGAGTTTGATTATCTAATTACAATGTTATATAGTTGGCAAAACGAGATTTTTGTTTCGTTTTTCCTCGACAGATTATCTTCGGTCATGTCATATTAAGTTGTCGTATATAATAGTCAAATTCGGGGGTTTTCTTCTCCTTCGTTTACGTCTGACGATGAAATAAAGTGGCAATGTTGTATGATTCTTGTTTCTAAACAATTTATACTGCTTAAAGAAATGCAAGAAAAACCAGGTCAAATGGAACATGCTGCTGAAAGATTGGCTATGAGGTCATCTCCAACTGATCCGGTTAAAGCACCATAAGGTTAAAAATAGCTCGGAATGACACGAAGATCATTTCCAACCAAGGGCTAGGCCAAAGGGCTTATGGGTTTCACCCGGACAAAACCCTCAAATCAGGCCAGCGAGCTAACCACTTCTGGCTAGCTAGCCAGTCTTCAAGCGCAGAATGTCAAGCTTGACATTTTGCTAGCTCTCCAGCTCAGCCCATTTGAATGCTAACAGCTAGTTGGCGTCATGTTGACGCCAGCTAGCAACGACTAGCTGATGTCATGCTGACATTAGGTTACTGTAGGAATTTGATTTTTTTTTTTTTTTGGACGAATTTAAAAAGAAAGTTATAATTTTTTTCCTATAAATACGTAAGTCATTCCTATACCATTTTTCACATACTTTCCACCATTCCATACTATTTTATCTCATTTTATTTCAATTCTTCACATTCTATTCTCTTACCTCTTCCAATAATCTTTCCTTTAATTTTTTCAATAATTTCAAATGGCCACATTTGCAATGAAAGGAATGGCTTGGACCCGAAAAGAAGATGAAGCTCTTTGCCAGGCTTATAGATGGGTCTCGGAAGATAGTGTCAAAGGTAGTTCTCAAACAAGTGAAGGTGTTTGAACTCGTACATCCAAAAAGTACCATGAGTTCTACGAATACATCACTCCACCGAATCCCTGGAACCACGAGAGTTATTCTTCAAGATGGAAAACAATGCAATCTCCACCCTAATACTACTTGGGGGAGTTATACAAACTTAAACAACATGAAACTTAAACAATATTAAACAAAACATTTAATAACATAAAACTTAGGCCATTTCCAACTGACTTGGCCAAAGGGCTAAAAATAGCTCGGAATGACACGAAAGTCGTCTCCAACCAAGAGCTAGGCCAAAGTGCTTATGGGCCCCACTAGGCTAAAACCCTCAAATAAGGCTAGTAGGTTGGCCATTTCCAGCCAGAATGTCAAGCTTGACATTTTGCCATTTTTCCAGCTTAGACAATTGAGATGCCAACAACTACCTAGCGCCAGCTAGCAACAGCTAGCTGATGTCATGCTACCGTCAGGTTATCATTGTAACTTGAAAAAAAAATTTGGAAAAATCTAATTTTTTTTCCCTATAAATACCTAAGCCATTTCTACACCATTTCTCACATATTTTTCACAATTCCATATTATCTTAACTCATTTTATTTCAATTCTTCACATTCTATTCTCTCACCTTTTCCAATAATCTTTCCTTTAATTTTTTTCAATAATTTTCAAATGGCCACATTAGCATTGAAAGGAAGGACTTGGACCCGAAAAGAAGATGAAACTCTTGGCAGGACTTATAGATGGGTCTCGAAAGATATTGTCAAGGGTAGTTCTTAAACAAGTGAAGGTGCTTGGACTCGTACGTCTAAAAAATACCATGAGTTCTACGAATGCACCACTCCACCTAATTTTTGGAACTACGAGATTCTTCAAGATGGAAAACAACATAATCTCCACCCTAGTACTACTTGGGGGAGTTACTCAAACTTAAACAACATGAAACTTAAACAACATTAAACAAAACATTTAACAACATAAAACTTAAACACCTACTCCATTGTTCTTTGCCCCAAAGATGTGGAACAAGATCATGTTGTAGGTATTTGTTTGTTGCACGCGAACGTATCATCCTATGACGCCTCATGTACTCATTTAAATAGATATTACCAGTTCTTGGATCCAAAGACAAATTAGGCCTGTCATAGGCTAGCATTCAAAGTGCAATAGCAACCTTTTGATGAGGTGAGAAACCATGACGGCCTACTTTATCCATCTTCTGTCGAAAGTATGGATTGACATGTTGGACATCATGAAGTAAACGTTTGAAGACACGATACCTCATCCGGAAGCGACGTCTGAAATCCTCTTCTGTGTACACCGAGTTGGAGTTGAAGTGGTTGTTCATCAGAGTTTCATGCGCGATCTCTCTATTTCGTGATTTGTAAGAGTGACCACCAACAAAGCCACTCCATTGAGGTTGTTCTTCAGTTTCATCATACGCCATGACTCCAACCATTGCTGCCATATATGTTGTGTCGCGCCACATATGGCTTTAGATGGTTGTATGGTAGGCTGCACATAAGACAAAATATAATAGACAATTGACACTTTTTTAAAGGTACTTGAAACCATAAAATTTCACGAGGAAATAACTTTTGATAATATTTCTAAGTTTTAGGTTTCATGATTGAAATTAAAAGAGGAATAAAACTTTGACAATTTAGATTTGAGACTAATACTTATAACTCAAGCGGTTAACAATTTAAATTATCATCTACACTTATGTGTTTGAATCTTCCGAGCATTTTTACTTTTTAAGAATGCGTATTCTTACCAAACTTTGAAAAAAAAAAAAAAAAACAAACAAACAAACAACAAACAAACATGAATAGTTCTCTGGTTGAAAGTTTTAGGAAAAAAAAAAAAAAAAAAAGTAAACATGCCAGCAAAGTCTAGAAGTGAAACGCTGCGTTCAACTCTAGAAGATTAGATTACGGAAAGTGCTGTCACAGCCATCAAAGTCTGGGTGGCTCGGGGACTTCTCAATCTCTCTGCAGTGGCTGGTCCAGCTTTCGTAAGACTCTTAATTTTGTTCTTAATTTTTGCTCTTTGAATTGCTTGAATCAATGAATCCACCCTCAACATTTGATGCCCATTAACTGTTCGATGAAATGCTGCTTCGAATTTGATATGATTGGTAGTGTAAATTTTGAATCTTTGGCTACTTTGAATCTACGAACTCAAGCTTAACATTTGATGCCCATCATCTGTTTGATGAAATGCCGCTTACATAATAGCCTTTGAAGAGCATTGGGTTTATTCCCGTTTCCGTTTTGGTTGTAGCTCTGGCCAAAGTGAGCTGCCATGGCACCCCAATTGTCAAACTTTAGTCTGTCTGTGTATGTTTGAACCTAAATTCTATGTGCAGAGAACGGACATGTATCGACATTGTGGAAGTTGCATCGATGACCATAACGAATGTCCGGTCCATAGTGTCAAGCATTCGAGTGATTCACACTTAATTCTCCAGCATCTTACAATGTGCCAATACTTATTCCTTCATTTATAGAAACAAGAGGACAAGTGTGCTCAAATTCGTATATCGTCTATTTGATATGCTGTGAAGTCATTGTCTTTTCGCTTTTCTTTCGGAAACTTATGTCCTGCTTTATCAAGTTACACCTGGAAGTTGAATTCTTATCGACTTATGTCATGCTTTAACTGTAAAGTTTGTGACTTGGAATGTCTCATGTTTATACGAAGTGACGTCAACCTTCCCTCAGTTTTTTGATCTATCAATTTGTAACATGCTAATCATTTCTTTAGAGTCTGTAGAATGCAGTGGATGCATGTTGAGTTAATTTCATGTGATGATAAAACTAAGATGCATAATTAGTTGCATAATTAGTTTCTACTGTGATCTACAGGAAATGAGAGTTCTGCGAAATCTTGAGGTCTTGAGAATGGGCACCATGAGCTATCTGGAAGCACTTAAGCTGCAGGAAAAACTGGTTGCTGAAAGAAAAATTCATAAGATTCCAGATACTCTCGTGTCCCTGCAACATCCACCTACATACACCCTTGGCAAACGACGAACTGATCACAATCTGTTGATTCCTGCGACTGAACTCAAAAGAATAGGAGCTCAACTGCACTACACACAAAGAGGAGGAGACATTACATATCACGGTCCACATCAAGCCATTTTATATCCCATTATTGCTCTTCGGGATATGGGGCTTGGTGCTCGTAAATATGTGGAGAAACTTGAGTCGACTATGATTGACTTGGCATCTCTGTATGGCGTAAAGGCTTGTCCTGGAAATAAATGTGAAACGGGGGTTTGGGTTGGAGATAGAAAAATCGGAGCAATTGGTGTACGGATTTCATATGGAATCACCTCTCATGGGTTGGCATTCAACATTGATCCAGATTTGAACTATTTCAAGCATATTGTGCCTTGTGGCATTGCAAATAAAGACGTTACATCATTGAGAAGGGAGACGGACTTAGCGCTTCCTACTGAAGAAGTAGTTCAGGACCAGTTGATTTCTTGTTTTGCAAGACAGTTTGGTTATAATGATCTTGTATGGAAGGATGCTGCTTCAATATTGTCAGAGAGCGGGGAAACTGAATGAGATTCTACAATTGTTTGCCAAAAACAAATAAACGATGTAAGTTTTATACTCTTCCATTGATTTATTTGTTAAAGCAATTGATTTGAAAATTGCTGGATTTGTATATCTTGTATTATAAGTAATGTGGAACACTAAGCTCAAGTGATGAGGAAGGGTGGGAAAATGGGTTTGAGCATTTGACCACATCAAATGTATCCGAAAAAATGTATTGCAAAATTAATCCGTTCAGTAATTTCCGTTCTTGCTTCCTTTTTTTGTCATCCTTAGCTGGTAAATTGCTCCTAATACAGGATAGTAGCTTGTGGTGAATCTATGGTGTTGAAAACTCCTTTCAGCCTCTACACAAATCCTAACTTGTTTGATGAGAAAACCATGCCCTTCCAATTTGCATGTTTTACTTCTTCTGTGCTACGATATTTTGTACTAGTAATCCCCGACTGCCCCCAGTTTCCATCCCTATAGTTTTTTCCTTGCATTTTTTCGTCCTTATAGTTTCATTCCTGTCAAAATAAGGCAAAAATTTCTTCGAAGTTGCATCTTCAAGTTAGAAAATGTTGACTAAATGGAAGGAAAACTCTAACTTAGTTGACGGATTGGAATAAAGCAAAAACATAACGAAATTACAGGGACGGAAATGCAAGAAACGAACTTCATGAACGGAAGTGATAATCCTACGGACAGAGATCCTCTCCTGATCTCATTGTCTAGAGTCCAAGGATCAACTGATCTTGGCCACTCAAATTGAATCGAATGATCCTTATTAACTCATTTTGCTGGCCCACCTCACATAAACTTAACTCCAATCTCTCTTTCACACAAATCAAAGAACTCAGAGAACTCAGAGATCCGGATAGTTAAAGAGAGAGAAAGAGAGATATGGAACTTGGTTTATGTGAGGTGTGCCAACAGAATGGACTAATGAGGATCGAGTGATTTAAAATGAATGGTTTGAATTTCCGAGTTTGTCGGCTCCGGACTCAAGGATCCAAAGAGGATCTCAATTCCAATAATAGCATAAAACTATTATAAATAAGGTGTAGATTATAAATTTATATTGATCCCAAATGGGACTAATTATATTTCAGTGCAAGACTGATCCAAGTCACATACTTTATTAAAAAAATAAATCATGGCTATATTAGAAAATGTACGAGTCAGCTTGATGGAGTGATGGGGCTTGGGCAAGTTGATAATGGTACTAAAAATAAATTGTTTTCTTACTGCTAAAATCCATGTTCTCCTTTCAACCCATTTCTGAAACCATGAAAAATCATGTGGCTTCCAAGGGGAAGGAACAAAGCTTAATATAATGCAAGGCTAAGAAAATGAGGACTTTCTTACTAGGGTACATACTTAAAGAGGTTAAGAGTATTTCGCTTTTACACAGACTACACTTGAGATGTTGTGTTCGGAATTTTGAATCCGCCATTCTAAGTAGCGATTGCATCAAGAAATATCTTAACAAAAGTGTTTGGGATAAAAATGAGTGTGTGAATAACAGGATCATTTCTATATAAATGGACAGCTAGGATCAATTGTTTTAGTTGAAACCATCGTATATGACAATCTACGTGATTATGTATTTCTTGAGAAATGAGCTTAGTTTAGCATTTGTGAAAGCAAAGTACTAATTTGGACAAATTCTTTAGTGTGACTGTAACGGAGGGCAGTACATCACATGCCATTATACAATTGGAAGAATATTTTTATTTCAAGTGTTCCTCCAATTATATAATGACATATAATATACTGCCTGATATTTCGACCACACTAAAAAATCTCTTCCTAATTTGGAAGGGTATAAATAATAGATGAAGAAAAAGAAGATTAGGAAACGTAAAAGTTGGAGGAACAGAAGAGAAGATGACAGTTCGGTGGAAGATTATGGTTGTTTCACGTTTGGAAAGCAAGATTACACAGCCATGTTTAGCTGTATGTTTGTAATTGTACTACTACTTAATATACTATATTAGGGTTCGATTTGGTCTCATGTGACTTATCACATGAACAAAATATATTCAAGTTCTGCAGATAAGTCATTGAAACTGACACAACCCACTCAGACTCACATGATCAGCTGCTTCCTAGTTATCACCTGCTGCACGAAATATCTCAAAAGGCCATGTTACCAAGGCTGAGAGATACTGTAGGGTTTTCTATTAGCAATGTGTTGGTCACAGATGATACGATCATCGTGCGTTTTAACTTTTTCATATGTTAGTGTTAAGATTTCTCCAAAGTTATCTTACATTGTGGATTGTGGGTCATGTTAGTAAGACTGAGAGATACTGTTGGGTTGTCTACTAGCAATAGTATAGTTTTGGTACGATCGTGCATTGTGTGTTTTAGCTTTTTCATATGTTAGTTGTGATTTCTCGACAGATAACTTACATTGTTGGTTATGGGCCATGTTACTAAGACTAAGAGATACTGTGGGGTTATCTACTAGCATAGCATAGTTTTGGTCACAGACAATACGATCATTTAACTTTTTCATATGCTAGTGTTGATACTTCTAGAATGCTATCTTACATGGTTGATTGTGCGGACTTGACGATTGATACTGTAGCTTTACATTTTGTTTAACTGCGACAATCTTGTGGCTCTCAAGTGGCTAAAAACATTGGTTCTTATAAGTTGTATTGAGGTTTTGTGTTCGGATCTTCTCTATATGACATTTCTTATATCAACAAAAGAAAAACAAATCTCATCTAATGATGTTAATGTATTGACTTTCAAGATGGATTCGATTGCCGGAGTTAACGCATTTAGGGGTAGATAAAAAGTGGTTCGAAGTGTTCAAACCGGCCAAATCGGAAACCAAACTAGTCCATGTGAACTACATCCGAACAATGTTGGTTATGGTAGTATATCTGCCCCTTGTATTAAAGTTTGAAAAACCTTATCATAAGTTAGGGTAGATTAGAATATTTATGCGTGAAGAGAAGAGATTAAAAAGAAAAATACTTGGCCACCAAATAGGATCATGGTAAAGAATGTTACTTGAGTTTAGATTGTTTTGTAAGAATTCTTGTAACCTTCTTCTCATCCTACAATGTTATATAATAATTCGAACCCTATATTTTTTATGTTATCTTTAAAAGATCATCTTAGTAAAAAGATTAACTAAATATGAAGTTCTTTAGTCATCTAACAAATGCAACCAAACACTTATCTAATAAACAAACTATATTTCTCACTTAAACCCTAAAATTTTGACAATGTTAATCAAAAGTTTCAATCATTTTTAATGTAGTTGATTTTTTTTCAAAATTGATTCATTAAGAATGATAGAAATTAAGGACTCGCATAAAAGTGTTTTTAAATGACTGGAAGTGATTTTAGAGAACGTATTTTTGGGTTTCAAAACAGTTCAAGTATTATTTCAGAATTTACTTGTATTTTACTAAGGATGAGTTCAAAAAACATTTCCAAACAAGTAATAAATTTTCTGACTATCAAACAACATTACAAATTAAGAAAGAAAATTAAAAGGAAAACTAATGAAAAAGATTTGAAAATTTTGAGTTTTAACGATAAGAACAAAATAAAGGGTAAAGTGAATAGTAATATGTTTGACTTTTTGTAATTTTTCGTTAAAGTAAACAGTACTGTGGGCTTTTCGTTAAAACTCCTAAAATTAAAATGGTAAAACGAGAAAACGAGAAAATTACAAAATTTCTGTCCCGTTGTCTTGATTTACATTCAATCTTTAAACCAAATTACCCCGTAACAGCACCGCCATTTTTGGGCTTCGTGATATGTATAAGCTCTCTATACTGTGTTCCTTCCATCTCCCTTGTGTTTTCTCTCGATCACACCATGAAAACCACTCACACAATCCTACTCGCCATCTTCTCCTTCCTTCTTCTGCACACTGTCACATCTTCTTCCCCGCTGCAAACCCACCAGGAGCGGCTGCAGCTGCAAGTTCATCCCAGACACAGAAACCAACCCAGAAGGTTACTGCTTGCTTCTGCAGTTGCTTCCTTCTCTGCAAATCCAAAGAATCCCAGCAGCAGCAAAGCAATGGAAGATCCCAAGAAATCTGTGGAGGCTAGCTTAAGGAAGTCTCCACCCAGCAAATCGAATCCGACCCAGAATCGATAAACTGGTCGATATTCGTGCAGGGATCCCAAAATAGAAAGAGAATGAAATTCCACAATTTTTGCAGATTTTTCTAATTTTTTAACTGTTAAATAGGTAGAAAGTGTATTGTTGTTTCTACAATGCTTTTGTATGTTCTTTCCTATTCGTTTATTGTTGTTATTTTGTAGTAATTTTTTGGGTTTTTAGAGTTAGATTTAGGAGGAGATGGGAAGAAACTGTATATACAGAAGAATCCTGTAAGGAGTTGTTAGAAAGATTATTGATTTGTTCGAATTTTTGCAATTGGCAAAATGGAAGTTTTCGCATTTCAATCCTTTTGCTACTGTTTTATATAACCCATGTATGCAATTGATCTAACTTTATATTCACTTCTTGCTGTTGCGAGTTCTCAAAATGTATCTATTTGCCATTTTCTGTGTCTGAGGGCAAATATGAGTTCTTTGTGTCTTTAGAGACGCATAGTGCAGTGAGTTTGTTATTATCTTCCTTGAAATCATGGTTATCTCCAAGAAAAGAAATTCTGTATGTTCACGTTTATTGATTGGATCGGTTACTAGCACAAGTGCCTCCTGCTGAATTTCTGTTTTGGAGCTTTAGAGTAAAGGTTCAGATATAGGACTTGCATTTTGTGAAATGATAAGGTACATGGAAAACTGCTACACAATGGTTGCCATTGCTGTCTTATTTTTGTTGCATTCGTCGATGTTTTACAAAATTCATACTGGTATGGTAATGGATCCTTTAAACCACTGGTAGAGTCAGATTGAATGAACAACAGTGGTTAGCATTTGTAACTCAATGATTGTCCCGTTGCTTTCCTTATATTTTATGCAGAGTTGAAGGTCGAATTTGGAGTTTCGAGTTATTGTGCAACTGACTTACAAACATGGTAAGTATTTTAACTAGTTTTTTAACCTAGGAAATCTTTAATGTTCTGCAAGTTCTGTCCTTGAGCACCCGTGTTTCATTTGGTCTGGAAATGTCTCGATAGGCCATTAGCTCTATGAATTCACATGGTATTTCTTTTAGCAGCCTGCTATTGTAGTTCAACTATTCAGGTACTGTTGCTGGTAAGTCCAAGACATGTTCTTTTCAAAAGCATTGTAGAATTTTCAGAATTAAATCTCTTTCTTTAATTAATTATTAACTCAGTTTTTCAAAGAAATAAATTATTGTATGGTTACAGATTTAGTGAATACATTTGTCACAGATTACATAATTTTAAGCACATATTATTGGTTGTATCTCAAAATTTTGATGTCAAACAAAAATCTTCCTTTCTAATATGAGGCAGGGAAGTGTGGTTTTAATTTAGTTTTAACAAATAATGATATTTTTCATGTTCTTACCTTTTCCGTTAATCCGCTTGTTCATTTGTAGTATACTTTGTTTATTGCTGAGTTATCGCTGTCACCAATTTTAAGATTAATGCTGTACTTGTTAGTGTGTTAATTATTTACGAAATTTGAAAATGTTACACCAGGTCCCAAACTCTTTAACAATGAAAGGGGTTCTCTGTGTAATACAATGATAATATGAGAAACACCGTCTAATCTGGTCACCTCATGTACACGGCGTCTATATGAAGCATTCAACAAGCTGGAAATAAAGATAGTTCTACACGTGTAGTAAATGCGTTTGAGTGATGTACACGTAGTGAATGAACAAGAAAATCCGCCAGTTACATTGATTTTCACCAACTCTTCCTGAGGATTATATACCCTTAAGAAACAAATTTCCTTGTAGTATTCGCCCTGTAGGATTCCTCTGCAAACTTCAGTCTTAGCTCCTTTTCCTTCTCCTTAGAAATTTCCTACATAAAGATGAGAATTCGAAATAGCCGGTCAAATTTTTCTCAGATGACTCCACCTGAGACCACACCCAGGGCTGCTCATCTTCGTTCACCAGAAGGTTCAGATGATCGCTTTTTAGTTGAAGAAGAGAATCGGCGCATTGGATGGTCCTGCCATACAAAAAAACAATTTCCTGCTCAAGTTTCAAGTGAAGATCAATTGCATGATGAATTGGAAGCAGCAAGCAGTACAGAAATTAGGCCTTTGAACCTGTGTTGATATGGGGAAAGATGCGAAACATTGCATGCAAATGGATACAAATCCGGTAATTAGTCTTTTACTCAAAATTTCATTTTTCACTTTAGGAATTTGCGATTTGTTGAATTTGCCCAAGATCAATTTTGTTATTGTTTAATTTAGCGTATTCTTGTCCAAGGTTCATTGCATCTGAAAAGTTAGGGCAGCTAGTCAAGATTTACTTAATGTTTTAGAAGATATGATTTTAATGTTATTTCATATTTAGGCCTCAGAGGGGCAGAGCGAAGGAGAAGCAGATAAAGGGAAACAATTTACTGCATGTGCTGGTTCTCAGGGGTAACTTATTTCTTGTCCTTTCTCATCTCTCGAACCTGCCGAAATGTTTAATTGCCATTTATCTATTCTACTTTTGAAATATAGATACTTATCTAATCTGCAATTTTGAGATATGTGATGAATACATAGTGACATACACATCCCTATCCGCATTCTCTTGTGATAGAACAGAATTTCCATATCCGTTTATTTGTAATTTAAATAGTCATAAATTGATAGTGAAAGTAAAATTTTCCATTCACTTACTGATTTCTTTTCTACAAAGCAGTTCAACTTGAGATCTATAAAATTGAAATAACTCTCTGTTTGCTGCAGGGGTGGAGAAAACGTAACTTCTCCAGTTACAGTTGGGATCGCTCGTCCTTGTTCTTTTTCTCATCTAGGTAAACTACTTCTATTAAATTAGAGTCCTCATGGAGACCAAGTCTTGAGGGTAACTTTTCAGTGAATTTCTTGTTGGTTTAAGAGATTTGATGGTCATAATGGTCATAATCAGTTCAATGTGAATTTCTTATGATTGGGTTGAAAGGAATCCGAGTACTAGGGGTTCAATGTGGATTAAATGCGTACATGTCTTATAAAGAGTCATATGATGCTAGTATATGGGAAATGTAATGATAGCTAAAGCCATCTTATGTGTGTAGTTGCTAAGTGAACATGGGGTTTTCTAATTTCTTACATCATTCAGCATGTGATGTATTTCAGCTTGGTTGTTCTGGTTGCATTTATAGTTTATATAAGTATCAATCGAAGTACATTATGGCCTTTAGAGATGACATATGCAAGGCACTAACATAAAAGCGTCTTAGACTGAAGCTGCATGTCATTACATGTCTTTTTCACTCTTAAGATTTTCTTGTTTCGTTGGCAACTACATGGAAAATTTGTTGTTCTAACTTTTTATTTTGCTTGGTGTTCTGAATCAGGTCAGAAACTTCCGTTTAAGAAAAGAAGACCTTATAGTCACACAGAGACTGAAGTAGAGATGGAAAGAGAGAAAGTAGAAGATGTCTATCTAGAAGTAAAAGTGGAAGATGCGGTAATGGAAGCAAAAGAAAAATGCATGCCAGTAGAAATTGAAAAAGAAAATCATTTTGCAGAAGTTAAAGAAGATAAGCCAGTTAAAGCGGAAGCTGAAGATGCAGTAGCTGATAAGAAAGAGGAATCACTGGAGGAAGGCGAGATACGAGAAGAAAATGCGGAGACAGAAAAAACAAGTGAGCTTGAACAGGTCAATGAAGGGTTGTATGTACCTCTTCTGACCATTGATGAGAACCAGCAGGACAGCAAAAACGAAGAACTTAATCTAGAAGAGACAGCAAGTGAACCAAATGAGAAGCCAAGAAGGGGAAGGAAAACGCCCAGATCTAGTGCTAGCACTAGCAGCGATGAGCCTCATCAGTAAGTATCCCTGTATGAATACAAAATACTCCCATTTATGCTTGCAAGTATGAAAAATGGTATGACTTTCACCTGCTATGGATGTTCTGTTTTTACCTTGATGTTTCACAGAACTAATGTTCTTGAACTTTACTTTGATGGAATTATATGTGTATAGAATCACTACATAAAGTTCTTCCAATCCTTTAATATTTGAAAAATGAATGGTTTTTTTTTTTCTTTTTCTTTCTTGGCCAGAGAGAAAAGAGTCTGAAAAAGCACATATATATTATCATTTACGGTTTTACGTACTGTAATTCATTTACTTAAGGACAGTGTTGTTTTTCTTATTCTACTGAGACAGAGTGAATTTTGAAAGTCAAGGGCAACTGTCATGAGATGTTCAATTGCTCCTTCATCTCCGTCCATTTCATTATATTTCTTCATGATACTCTCACGCTTTATGTGTGATGAGCATGTATATGTATGGTTTCCTAGTGGGTTTGGAGAAAATTTACAAATCTGACTATGAAGTATGAACACACAGGGGAAGGCAGAAGCTAAAGAGAGGAAGTCCAAAGAGGATGCAAGATCCAGCTGAGACAAATCAAGGGTTTCGTCACATCCCTCCCTCCCCCTATTCTCTCTCTCTCTCTCTCTCTCTCTCTCTCTCATGTGTGTGTGTTTGGACATGGATTTGTGTGATGGACATGTGTTTTGGATACATTTTTATGTGTTGTGCATGCATATATGCTCTACCTGCGGACATAATCAACAACAATACTTTCACTATGAAGGTGTGTAGAGAAGCGGAAGCCATTAAGAGGTCGCCCCAACAGGGGTAAAGAGGAGTCTTCTCTTTCAAACAATAGGTACCCAAGAAGAGGTCGCTCCCAGAGGGACACAGAGGAGTCCTTTCCTTCAAACAATAGGAAGCCAAGAAGGGGTCGCCCCAAGAGGAGCACGGAGGAATCACCTCATTCAAACAATAGGTATCCAAGAAGAGGTCGCTCCAAGAGGGACACAGAGGAGTCCTTTCCTTCAAACAGTAGGAAGCCAAGAAGGGGTCGCCCCAAGAGGAGTGCAGAGGAATCACCTCATTCAAACAGCGGGTACTCTCTGGATACAGAGGAGTCATCTCCTTCAAACAATAGGAAGCCAAGAAGGGGTCGCTCCAAGAGGAGCACAGGGAAATCACCTCATTCAAACAATAGGTACTCTTTCTCCCTCTTTCCTCTCTCTCTCTCTCTCTCTCTCTCTCTCTCTCTCTCTCTCTCTCTGGGTTAGAAATCTGTAACTAAATATTTAATAAAACAGGAGTGCTGAAATGCCAAAGCCTAAGAGGGGAAGGCCAAAGAGGGTGAAGGACTAACCAGCCAGCCAGTTAATGTAAAAACGTAGTGACTCCTTTGAAATGTCTTATATCATTGTAAGACTTTGGTAGAGTAATGTGTAATAAATAAGTCCGTAGTTTGCAAGTACATTTATTTGCCTTGGTCTTTTAGGATTTATGTTTGATGATCTATAACAGAAAAGACCCAAGTGAAAGCTGAAAACTTTGTGTGGTGCCTATTACCAATGTGTCAATGCAATATGCTATTATTATTTATCTTGCTACCCTGATTATAAATGTAACAGATATCATTGGTGGGAATTTATTGCATCACCTTCAGTTTCGTCTTTGTTATAGTTGACTGACTTTGTGCGTAACACATTTTTCAGTTTCATTTGTATCCCGGTTACCTATGATACATGGTAAGCATAGATCACAAAAATGTTTTTGAGTATATCAGGATATTCATACAATAAATAAATTGAAAACTGCTATATTATTTATATTCTGAATATATTCAAGAACAATTTTTTTCCCAGAAAATTACTGTCGAGTGAATTGTATATGCATGTACATTTTTTCCAGCAAAAGCATTAGTAATTGACAATTTGACAGGTCTTCTTTGTGTAAGCAATCTCATGTTTATCTGTATGGCCAATTTAGGCATCAAAATTGTTTAGTTTTGGTGCATTAAACTCTTCTATGACTTGTCCTATGTCTTCTTGGTAGACATTTTCATCGAAACAGCCTGATTTTCTTAAAGGGAAGCTTACATGCTATCCTTATTAGGTTACCTAATATGTAGAATTGCCATTTCATATGAAATTTATGACTTATATCTGCTAGGATTTCTTCTATGTTTTCAATGGAAATTAGATATATCAAAATTTAATGACATCTAGTCTCACATTTAACTTTTACTCTTTTACACTTTACGGGTTGAGAGGCACTGTGTAGCCTAGTAAGGTGAGAGGTTGTGTCAGGCCATCCACCAGGTGTAAGCCATGTAGAAATTTTTGCTTAAAATGCAGTTTAATGAGTCTAAATTTCTGTTTCTTTCTGTCTTTATGTGAGTTTCTAGGTCTTTCCCTTGTGCTCATCTCTTGCTAGACATTGATTTTTCCTTCAGATTCACTAGTTGAAACAACGATCTTTTAGGAATTGAGTTGTATACAACGAGATCACATTGACTCAGGTGTATTTTCTTTGTTTTTATCGTACCTTTTACCTTGGTACTCTTGGATAATTTGAAAATGAGAATCAGGGGCAGACGGATTGTCAAAACTCCTCCTTCTCCAACTAGCTCAGTTGGTTCCTCAGAAGATCCCCCAGCACAGCAAGAAGAGCAAGAGGTATTATCGTTGCCCTTCAATGGTGCGATTTTTTTGCCCTACCAAAGAAATCTGCATGATCAATCAATTAAAGAGGTAAAGAGGGGTTCAGATGTGTAAATCTGTTGCAATTTTAAATTCAGATGTGCAAATCTGTTGTGGTTTAAGTTATTTTTATGTTAATTGAATTAACCAACCATCAATTCACAGGGAAAGAGGGATTCAGGATGTGAAAATCCTTTGCGATTTTAAATTATTTTTATGTTAATTGAATAAACCAAACATCAAATCACAGGTAAAGAGGGATTCAGGGTGTGCAAATCCATTTCGATTTTAAGTTATATTTCATTCTTGGGTATCTCAGATCTAGGTATAACTCTTGATCAAAATCCTCATTTTGTCGTTATAATGCTACAATTCTGCTCCACAGTCTCAGATCGTGGTATCCTTGCCTGCATCTTCAGATCTAGGCAACACTGTATATTCTGAAATTTGGGCTGGAGTAACACCAGTAGCCTCATCAGTTTGTTGTTATCATGCACTGATTCTGTTCAATCTTTTTTATAGGACACTGCAGGAGGTGTAACTGAAGATGCTTATAAGGAGATCAACGATTCCCATGTTACTCCAAGGTAAACTGCTTTCTTAATGTAATTTTGTAGATTCATTGAACAGGGCGACATCCCCATGACTTGTAGGCTTGAACTTGACAGTGAGACAGTATTGTCATCTTTCGTATGTCCATCTGATTTAATAAAAGGGGGTCATCTCTACTCAACGTGTTTCATAAATATCCAAATAAGGTTCCCGCGCACTCATGCAGTACGCGCGTAAAATTTAAATTGCATAGTAACTTCAGACTGATACTTTGAAGGAAACTCATTATTTTATTGTGACAGTGAGGACATTTGAATGGCTGTTTACACATATTGTTTACTTCAAGCGTTGTTAAATGAATTTCCTTTTGGTGATCATACAGGAGGGGGAAAGTGTTGAATGCAGCTGTACCTGCCCAACAGGTTCTAATTGTAGTATCTTCTGATGAGGGTACGCCTTTTTTTACTTTCTTTAAAGAGTTCAAGTAACGGTTATTTGGAACTTAATAAATTTTGTATGAAGCACTAATTTAGATATAGAGAGTATGCTTTTGGAAACATCTTTGTACAAAATTCGTACTCTGAGAGGATCAATGACTGCTAAACTAGGTGAACTTGTCTGCGTCATTTAACGGCATTATAGAGATGCTAGTAATATGGTAATTCTTCAGATTATCGAAAACCGATTTTTTTTTCTAAAACCCTTCTAAGCATCAGTTAACTCCTCAAAGAGTAGCCTACCCACTATTAGTATTATTTTTAGCATCCCTTTTTAGATATTCTTAAAATGCAACAGCCAAAAAGAAAGCCATGTCGTTGGGTAACTTCCTTAACCTGCCATAAACCAGTGGATTTTGTTACAATGGTGATTTGCAAATCAGGTTAATACAGATCCCCGTAGCTTCCACAGTAGAAAAGAAGCATGGAAACAAAGGTTACATATGATATCTTATTCAATGGATAAACTTTGTCAAGAAAACACATTTTATCAATATTTAAGTAAGCCTTTTCCCAACGTATTGTTTCTGTTCTAATAACTTCTGCAGATTGGTTTGTTGAGGTACTTTGCTTAGTCTTGAGGAGGAAGTATATTGGTGTTGGCTTGCTTTGTACTTCAGTGACGCTCACGTATTATAATAACATCTCACCATTTTCATTCTATGGAAATGGTTTTGTGGATGAAATATACATATTACCATACTAGTTAGTGTCTTTGCTGTTATTACTAGGTTCTGTTGTGTCAAATTCCGTTTCTTATTGGATTCTTGTATTTATTACCATGGAAAAGCAGATGAACCTGCACTGAGGAGCACGAAGGTAGACCCAGATGAAGTCACCAGCCGAAGGATTCGTAAGAGAATAGACATCAGGGATGTCAACATGGGAAGATCTAACCGTGCACGTAATAAGCTGACTCAGGTTGGACATGCACGCGTACGCGCCTCAGGTGTGGCAAGGGCTAGGGGCGTGCACAACATTATGCACAACCTAATGCCTTCTTGTCCCAAATCTGAAGAGGAGCTCGTTAAGAACGTTTATGGTGAGGCAAAGAAGGTGCAAAGGAAAAGATTCAGGCTTCTAAGAGAATTCTATGGTGTTTAGAAAGGCTTGAGGCAGTGAGGAACCTTATTTGGACTAAAGCAGTGGTTTCTGAGTTGCATGTTTTTCCGTTTCCTAGTATTGTCGTGTTCGTCAGAGTTCGTTAAGGAAGTTTCGGTTGTTAGAATGAAACAATGCTTTTCTGAGTCGCATGTTTTTCGGTTTCATAGTGTCATCGTTTGTGTGAGATTTTTTAAGGAATTCTTGATTGTTGGATTAAAATTTGGTCTTCTGATTTGGACTTGAATTTCATACCAGTTATCATCTTATAGACGGGGAGTGCTATGATTCTATGAACGAGTGTTCAATCTTGAGAGACCTCCACATGACTTGGAGCTTACCCTACCTTTCCCTCAGCTCCTACCTCTCCGTAGCATTGAATACGGATCGGGCTGAGGCCTTGGCCCAGATTCATCCCCTAATGAGCCGAGGCTTGGCAGTGCTTTGCATGACCCATTAAACAACATGAAAATAACAAGTTTCGAATTAACCTGTTAATGATTCATTTCTTCTTAGGTTACTTGTTAAGAACCTATTAACAAGCCGGGTCGTCATCGGGTCACTTGTTAAGATTCCAATAATATATAGTTTGCCGGATCTAAACGTTGGACATGATAATTTTTTGCATGATTCGTTAACCCGACACGAAACGACACGGCTTATTAACAAACCGGGTCGCTGTCAAGTCACTTGTTACAATAATGGGTATGATAGAGCGCTACCTGTTAAGATAACATGTATAACATGAAAATAACATGAACGTTTGTTAGGTCTAAATGACCCATGAGTCCATTTGGTCGCGGTAGGCAATATCCAAGCGGCTTGCCTGTCAGGTCCATCATAGGCTAAGATGACATGGCCCACATGGGTGACCTGACCTGCGATCCCACCTGGTAAGAAATGGCTAACTCGACCTGATGGGAAGAAATGGCATCTTGGCCTTGTCTTGACATCTGCGGGCATCAAATGCTCGTAGGCCTCAAACCAGTGATTATCTCAGCTCGGCTTCGGGTGTTTTACCCCAACGACGTATATCATACAAGTTTAAAAACGTTTAGTTACTAAGTTTTTGGTGAATACATAAATGGAGAGAGAAGATAATTTAGTTAAATATCAGAATGCGCCGATTAACATACAAACAAACTAGCTATATATTAATATAATTTTATTAAGTAAACGAAAGATTGTCATGACGGCTACATAACACAAGAGGTTACATTGTATATGACTTATTAAAAAAATAAACTAATACAAGCACTACTATATATAGTGGAAACTAGCAAAATCCTAATCTTAACGGGTAAAACTCTATCCTTGATCAACAAAAAAAAACATAACTAATAATAAAATAAATAACTAATTTTCCAACAAAGTTTGCATTTTCACTAATCTCATCACTTTGAAGACTTCGTGCCTTTTGATCATGGAAGTCTGTTTCCCATCACTAAGAACATTAACTTAGAGATTTGACAGCACCTAATTTGCAGCTGTATCCGTCCCCTTCTTTGCATTCACTTTTTCTCATTCTCCGGGTACTATGGAGGTTAAAGTGAAGACGAGATTCAAGCTCTAATCTTGGATGCAGAGGGAAATGTTTTCAGCCAGTCGAACTTGAAGTCTTCGTTTTCTTGCTTATGGAGTACTTGGAAAATGACTCTAAGAAAGACATGAAGGATTTGGAGTTAATGAAAGACTTTGTACAAAATGAAGCGTGGTAAAATTCTAAGATTCATATAGCTAATCTTATTTAATAAGATAAAACTTTATTATTGTTTTGTCTTTTGTTCATGTACCTTTCTTTATGTTTCTTTGTGAGCCCTATTGTTGAATTTTGACCGTTAAACTTGAATGGTCGGCAGATGCATGAGTCATAATACATGCGTTAGGATCGGGAGTCATCATCATATTATATATATATATATATGTATGTATGTATGTATATATGTATATGTATATGTATATGTATACATATGTATGTATATATATGTCTGTATGTATGTATATATATGTATGTATGTATGTATGTGTATGCGATAGGATCGGAGTCATCATCATATTATATTATATACATGCGTTAGAATCGAGAAATACCATATTGACACACACTTTTATCACCCACTCTGTAATTTGTATTAAGGATCTAAATTGTCTATATTTCAACTTAGCACTCATAGATCATTCTTAAAAATATTAGATAAATTTAAAACCATTAAGATATTCATTTGTAGTAAAAAAATGGACGAACACGATTCGGCAAAGAAGCACTAAAAATTAATATCATTTAATGATTGTCGTAATGTTTCGTATTTGTGTGATTTTTGTGGATATGATCTTTGAATGGTGAAAAAATGTTCTTAACTACTTGAGTAACAAATCTCTAGAATTTGGAACAATCACAATTGCTCAAATGAGGAAAATTGTAAAATGGGTGAGGGCTGAGATAGGTCTTGGTGTTATTACATATGGAAGAATTCAAGGGTGTTTTCAATTCAGAATTTGACAGATATCAATTCTTTTATAAATACAGAAGTATTTAATCAAGATTTTAAGTGATTTTTTTTTTTAATTTAAGTGTAAATAATCAAAATGTTAAAAGATTTTGTTAAATTCCACAAAAAATTCAATTAGAATTTTAAATAATTTTTAAAATTCGAGAGAATTTGAGAGAATTCACTCAAAATTTTATATGAAATCTCTGTAAAACAATTAAACTCCATCAAATTAATAGATTAATAAATTCGTTAAAATCCTTCACAATTCCAATTAAACGATCATATTATTTTCTCAAATCTTCAAAGTAGGACTCTTGTATTTTGAAATATGACTAAACTAGTAAAAATGCCCACACGTTGATGCAGGACTTGAATGCACCAGCCTTTACCACATAAATAAGATACATTTAACTTGAAAAAAATTCAACATAATCATAAACGAACAAAAGGAATAAATGAGTGAACGGTGTTGGTAAGATAAGCAGTTCGACTTTTATATACATTGAACAGAGCTGATTACAAAAGATATGGTTGCAAAAAATGCTCTGTTTCCTGAGAATCAGAAGCAACACGCATTTTACAAATATATTGCCCTTCAAGTAAGACGACAAAATATTTTAGCAGTTGAACAATAAAAGCATAAAAGTGTGTTGTTCTTATTTCAGTAGCTAATCTTTCATGCACTAATGTTCAAAGAAAAAAAAATGTAGGATGCCTGTTTCCATAAGACACAGAAGAAACATAAACAAGATGCATTCCACACATATTTTGCCGGTGTAGTTAAGGTGACAAAATACATGTCCTACAGAATAGACACCTATTTTAGCATTGCAAACAAAGTAAATCCGTTTGAGGTATATAACTGAAGGAAATAAAATATATGAGAGAGTTTTAACGAAAAACCCGCGGTATTGTTCATTTTAACTAAAAACCACATTTTTACACTAAAATGTCAATTCTGATACTATTCATTTTACCTTATATTTTATCGTTAGAACTCAAAGTTTTCAAGTCATTTTCATTAGTTTTCATTTCATAAAATTCATTAGATGCTAAATGAAAAAACCTGGTATTTAACATATGGAACTCAAAAATATTAAGAACAAAGACAAAAGGTTGAAAATCAACAATTAATCCAAATAGTGATTCTTATACAAAGACAACAAATACTCAAAAATCAAATACAAAATATCATCTCTTTGAGGTTAGTACAAAACCCTGTACCGATCAAACAAATAAAAATAAAAATAAAAATGAAAAACCAAAAAGTGTATACGTCGGGATTAAATCGGTGGTGTTTGGAGAGGATAGATAGTTAAATGGGAGGAACTCGTGACAGGAGGCACGGCTGGTGGTGGCCGCGGCGGAGAGAGAGAGTAGGAAGAGACGGACAGCGGCTCGTCTCTATTACGGAGTGGGGATGTGGTGCGGAGCAGCAGACGATTACAACACTTCAATTTTGCTCTGAAATCAAACAACTAATCATTTAAATTAGACTAATGTCCTCTTCAATGATTGTCTATATTGATAATTGAAGTCTACCATTTATATGAAGACTCTTTTTTGGTGATCATTTGCATGAAGACTTTGTAAATAAGGTTAGTTTGAAAAAATCATCATTTGGGTCAATCGACCTCCATCTTCGTTGGTTCATGTACTAAATAAAGATGACTTACCTTATCTCTATTGATCAATGGTTGGCAGTTGTAGGGGAGACACTTGAATTTGGTTCTAGGGTCTTTCTCCATATCCCCTCATTGCTTCGGGTTTTGTTGCTTTCTTGCTTGTTGGTCTTGTTGTAGGCTTTCTTTCGTCCTTCGTTAACATCTTCATCCTGGTAATACTTTTTCAGTTTCCAAAAAAAAAAAAAAAAAAAAGAAGGAAGATTGTAATATTACTGTGCACATAAAAACTTTTAAACCTTATATTTGAAGTCTTTACTGTTTACATGAAGACTTTCTTCCAATTTATTATATTTTACTATTATTTCTGTGGTGGTGCCGATGCACCTCTTCCCTTTTATTATTTTTTCTTTTACCTTTTCAAATGCACCATCCTTTTTTTTATTATTCTATTCCTTCTTTTCAGATGGTGCCCATGCACCATTCCACAAACTTTGTCTTTTTCCCGGAAAAAAAGACAAACTGCAGAAATAATAGAGACAAGTGAGAAAGAGGCAGGATAGTGGACACCACAACATGGACACGTTGAGAGAAGGACATGAATTGTCTCCTCTTCCCTTTCGTGTCTTTCCTTATCTTTCTGTTTTGCATGGTCATAATTAAATCATGTTAATATTTTATATTTTTTTTATAAATATAATAAGATAAAAATAAATAGTAATATAAAATGTTAACGTAGTCTAATCGTGATCACACAAACAGGAAAGCACAAAAGAACACTGAAAGTGAAAGGGTAGGCCAATCCTTATCTTGAGAGAAATTTTTATGTGTGATCGTGGCGAAGCCTATGTCCTGCCATTGTGGATGGTTAACGTTTTTTTTTAAGAAGAAACGATATATTGATCCGTTAAAGATTACAAAGACTCTTGAATGAGGAGATCCTGAATAACCTGAGGACTCTCACACCAAATTAACTCGTTTCCAATCGAAAGATCATACTTGGTTAGTCTATGGGCACAATCCCATTACGAACTCGACACACATGAACAAACTGTTTAAGCTGAAATTGAGATGCCAATTGATTATAATCTCTCTCTCCACCACCAACCGCTGTAAGCCAAGGACTGCAGCAAACCGAAGACCTTCACATACAACCGACATCTCAGAATGTGTAGCGGACGGAATTCCGAACTTTCTTCATGCCCCGGCAGCCACAAACTTCCCCTCCAATCTCTTACCACCACATCTGCACCTAGACCTGGCATTTTGGACCCGACCCATTAATCTGATCCGACACGACCGGTTAATATTAGTATGTGAGTGGATGCTTACCGGGTCGGGTCGTTAACGGATGAATCCGTTAAATAACGGGTCACTTTGGGTCAACCCGTTAATTGATGATGTTTTAGTAATTTCAATAAAGTCTTAACAACAAAAAATAAACTCTATGCAAAAATAATAATAATAATTGTTAACGAGTGTTAACGGGTGAAACAGATGACCTGTTATCTTAATAGGTCGGGTTCGGATAACCTGTTAAGCTCCGTTAACTTAACAAGTCGGATTGAACCCGACTCATTTACAGGTCTACTTGCACCATCAACATCAATTTTAAACCAACCTTATCTAGGAGCCGTCCACAAGTTCAACGGAATTGACTCGCGCAAAATGCGGCACAAGCATTTACATCTAGAAACGCTTAGACAAAAACAGGGATGGAGACTAGTCAAGCCTAAAATTTGGAACACAAACTTTGACTCGATTAATTCCAAGGAAGCAATGATTCATTAAGATATATAGCTAATCGATTAAGCTAGCCTGAACAATTGGTGCTTTTGCAATGGCAATGGCTTTTTCTGTGCGGATGCTTTTGTTCTCCTCATTGTTTTTGCTACCAATTTATGTGTTTTCCCAAAATAATGGAAGAGTAGCAGTTGGAAGTTCTCTAACTGCAACTACAAGTAACTCCTCATCATGGCTTTCTCCATCCGGTGATTTCGCGTTTGGATTTTTGCCCCTTGGAGGCAATGATCTTTTCTTGCTTTCAATATGGTACGCGAAAATCCCAGACAAAACCGTAGTTTGGCATGCATATGAGGATAACAACCCCATTGTTGCACCTAAGGGATCAACTTTGAACTTGGATGCCAGCAGTGGATTAGTTCTTAACAATCCTCACGGTGGGGAGATATGGAAACCCGAAACAACCTTCGGGGTTGTTGCAAACGGCATCATGAATGACACCGGAAACTTTGTTCTTCAAGACAAAAACTCGGGGAGCTTGTGGGAGACCTTCAACAATCCTACAGACACTATTTTGCCTGGTCAGACAATTGAGAGAAATGGGAAGCTTTCGTCTAGACAATCGGAGAGTAACTACGCGAAGGGCCGGTTCCAGCTGCGCTTGCAAGATGATGGAAACCTCGTGCTCAACACCATAAACTTGCCAACGGATTATGCCAACAATCCTTACTTTGCCACGGACACGACAATGGGGACTGTGGAAGGTAGTGAAGGCAAACAATTGGTGTTCAACAACTCAGGGGACATGTTTGTTCTGAGAGAAAATGGTGGAAGATTCATTCTCACAACGGCAGAGGGAGTCTCAGCGAGGGAGAACTACCTAAGGGCAACTCTTGATTTTGATGGGATTTTCGCGCTATATGCTCACCCAAAAACTTTCACAGGAAATGCAAGCTGGAGTAGTCCTCTGTGGTATCAGCCGGTTGATATTTGTCAAACACTTTTGGAAGACGCGGGCGTTGGTGTTTGCGGATACAACAGTATCTGCAAGCTCAAACCAGATAATAGGCCGACCTGCGAATGCCCGAAGGGGTTTTCTTTTCTTGATCCCAAGGACGTATACCGAGGCTGCAAACCCGATTTTATACAAGGCTGTAAAGAAGATGAGCTAGCAAGTCCCAGGCAAGATTTGTATGATGTCGAGGTGCTGATAAATACTGATTGGCCAACCTCAGATTATGTGCAGCTAAAGCCTTTTACCGCAGCCAAGTGCAACGAGTCTTGCTTTCATGATTGTTTGTGCGCTGTTGCTGTTTTCCGGTCTGAAACCTGCTGGAAAAAGAAGATACCTCTTTCGAACGGGAGAGTGGATGTCACTCTTAATTCGCAGACCTTCATCAAAGTCCGAAAGGATAATATGTTGGAAAATTAATTTTAGTATTATTGTTATTTCTATTGGGTTTTCTTGTGGGCCAAGAATTAAGATTCTTTGTCCATTAAGTTTATAACTTTTTGCCCGTTAGGCCTTCCAAATTAGGACAAAAATAAAAAATAAAAATAAGTGTGCTACAAATATATTGAACTCATAGTGAAATCACACTTCTATGGTGGGGCGGAAAATTTGAGTGTGATACTAATATATTACGCTCATGAGTTTAATATATTAAACCACTATGGAAGGTCTTAGGGATTAGGGTTTGCTTTAATTTTCTCTATAAATAAGGTGCCTTGTAACTCATGGAATAACAAGTCACTCAAAATGCAGTCTTCTATTTTGTATCCGTGCAATCTCTTTCCAGTTAATAAAGTTATATTTGCTTATAATTGGTTGTTCTTTCGGTTAGTTAGTCTGTTCATTATGGGTACTCTGATTTTCAATCTAATATAACTCTGCAGTTTCCTCCAATGCCAATTCCAGATAATAAAGAGAAGAGCCAGACATCTGTCATACGCGTGGAATCATTACTATTAGGTACCTCTATCCTTGTTAATGTTGTCGGAAGTGCTGCTCTCTGTCTCGGTTTTGGACTCTTATTTAGCTATGAAGAACTACAAGAAGCTAAAAATGGATTTACGGAAGAATTAGGAAAGGGTGTATTTGGAATGGTATCAAAGGGGGATGCAAATTGGTTCTGGTGTCGAAGTGGCGGTGAAGAGGCTAAACTTGTTGGAGAACAATTTAGAAATAATAAAATAACAGAAATACAGAATCGAAATACTTATACTTTACTATTCAAAAATACTTGCAATACAGAATGCAATTACACAATAATTACAAAAAATTAAAATGATACTAACTTGAATGAATTGAAGGTAGAAGCTAGCGCAAACGATATGTCCTTCGAACAGTATTTCCGTCCCACTCGTGTGCTTGTGGTTCTACAACGTCTGCTCGACTAGTATACAACTACCTAATTCTACAATCCGCACTGGATTATAGAACTCTAGCGAATTGCTTTGTGTGTTTACTCTCTGGAAATTTTGTATAGAAGACAAGATGGAAGAAAAGATGATTCTCACTTGGATACTGTGATTGCAAATATATAAGTTGTTTCACACCCTTTCAAATACATGTTCAGTGTATTTGAAAGTACACAACTCTTTCTAATAGTTGTGTCTTTTAATCAAAACGTACAACTCTTTCTAATAGCTATGCCTTTTAATCAAAACATTTTTTAATTAATAAATTAATTAAAAAACTTAATCCGAAAATTAAAATTAATGAATCTGATTAATTTTAAATTCCAAGGCCCCAAGGCCCAAGGCCCTTGTCTTGATTAATTAATATTAATTGTATTTAGGCTATATTATATTCAAGTCTAATCCACACAACCATAAGGCACAAGCCTTCAATCCATTTTCAAATGGTCCAAGTTCTAATTACTCAGAAGAAAGAATAAGACTATATAATAGCTGTGTCATTTAATCAAAACGTACAACTCTTTCTAATAACTGTTTCTTTTAATCAAAACGTTTTTTAATTAATAAATTAATTAAAAAACTTAATCCGAAAATTAAAATTAATGAATCTGATTAATTTTAAATTCCAAGGCCCCAAGGTTTAGACTATATTATATTCAAGCCTAATCCACACAACCATAAGGCCCAAGCCTTCAATCCATTTTCAAATGGTCCAAGTTCTAATTACTAAGAAAAAGGAATAAGCCTATATAATAGTTGTGTCCTTTAATCAAGACGTACAACTCTTTCTAATAGCTGTGTATTTTAATCAAAACGTTGTTTAATTAATTAATTAATTAAAAAACTTAATCCGAAAATTAAAATTAATGAATCTGATTAATTTTAAATTCCAAGGCCCCAAGGCCCAAGGCCCTTGTCTTGATTAATTAATATTAATTGTATTTAGGCTATATTATATTCAAGCCTAATCCACACAACCATAAAGCTCAAGCCTTCAATCCATTTTCAAATGGTCCAAGTTCTAATTACTAAGAAGAAAGAATAAGCCTATATAATAGATGTGTCCTTTAATCAAAACGTACAATTTTTTCTAATAGCTGTGTCTTTTAATCAAAACATTTTTTAATTAATAAATTAATTAAAAAACTTAATCCAAAAATTAAAATTAATGAATCTAATTAATTTTAAATTCCAAGAGGCCCAAGGCCCTTGTCTTGATTAATTAATATTAATTGTATTTAGGCTATATTACATTCAAGCCTAATCCACAGGCCCAAGCCTTCAATCCATTTTCAAATGGTCCAAGTTCTAATTACTAAGAAGAAGGAATAAGCCTATATAAAGGCTAGTGAAAAAATATTGTTACCCAATGTGAGACTAGGGGGTCTCAAACTCCTACAAAACTATGTTATGCAGGATGTCGAGGAGTTCAAAACAGAATTGAATGTAATTAGTCAGACGCATCAAAAGAATCTGGTTCGTCTTTTCGGATATTGTGACAAGGGGCAACAAAGATCACTAGTTTATAAGTTCATGAGCAATGGAACATTGGCAAGCTTTCTTTTTGCTGATATCAAACCAAGTTGGAGACAGCGAATTGAAATCACTTGTGGCGTTGCTAAAGGGCTTTTGTACTTGTCAATAGAAAGGATCATAATTCTTCGCCCTCTCTACAAAGAACTCTACAAAGAACATGAGGGAGTAGAGAGGGCAGCAATAATTCCAATTCATACATGATAGGCCCTAAACTTCATCAGCACCAATAGCTTAAGCAAACGCATAGTCGCGGGGCTATGGTTTCGTGACGAATTTTATTATTCATAACAAGATCATAAAATGAGTTGCATACATAAAGCACTCTTTCTAAGGTTTTGATATAAATCATAACATTACAAAACCAACCATCAGTTGGTAACTAAAAATAGATTGATTATAAATAGGAAACTGTTGAAAATGAGTCACACACTGATGGGAGGAGAGACTATGTATGAGTTTATAAGAGGTTGGGCTATTCCCATATTGCTAATTGATTTTATAGTGAAACCTCAACTTTCTTTATGGTGTCAGAGCAAGTTATCCCACGTGTGAAGCCAAACGGCCACACACGCTCCATGTCACCCTGTTGTGCTGTTCACGTGTTAGGCTTAAAAATACAAAAATACCCCACACGTGAGGGGGTGTGTTGAGAATGAAGAGGCTACTCCCCATATTGTTTTATGATGGAACCTCAACTTTTTCACGTTCAATGTCTCCATGAGATGATTTTTCTTATATCTTCACTCTGATTTTGTTTTGTTGCTGCCAATCTGCTTAAAATTCAAATTGCATGGTAGAAAATTCAAATTGATGCTTCGAAGGAAACTAGTTATTTTAACGTGATTGTGAGAACATTTGAAAGACTACTTGCACATGTATTATCTTCTGATGAAGAGTACGCCTTTATCGTTTTTCTCTAAAGAATTCAAGTTGCCAATATGCTTCAAATTCAAATTGCATGGTAGAAAATTCAAATTGATGCTTTGAAGGAAACTATCAACTTCTTCACTTTCAACGTCTCCATCAGACGATTTTTCTTATATCTTCACTTTGATTTTATTTTGTTGCTACCAATGTGCTTAAAATTCAAATTGATGCTTCGAAGGAAACTAGTTATTTTATCGTGATTGTGAGAACATTTAAAAGACTACTTACACATGTATTATCTTCTGATGAAGAGTACGCCTTGTCGTTTTTCTTTAAGGAATTCAAGTACCGGTTCCGGATTTATATAATTTTGTATCAAGCACTAAATTAGATATAGAAATTAAGATTTAGGCAAAGAAGGCACAAAGGCAAAGGTTTAGGCTTTTAAGCGAATTTTGTGGTGTGTACAAAAGCTTGAGGCAGTTAGGAACCTCATTTGGACCATTGTTTTAGTTCAAATAAAGTCCATCTTAGGCTAAATTTGAAATGGATGACCTGACCTGCGATCCAACATGGTACGAAATGTCTGGCCCAACCTGCTAAGATAAAATGGCATCTTGGCCTTTTCTGGACCTCTACGGGCTTCAAATGCTCCTCTAACACACCTCAAGCCCGTCATTTTCTCATCCTCGGGTGTTTTACCCCCAACGATGTATATCTATTGATCCTAAAAACTACTAGTTTACGTGGAGCGCAGACTGAATAGCTAATAAGCTAACTACGTCATTCGACTGAATGTAGGCGTGCCAACTCGTTGGCCAAGCTCGGGAGTGAATGAATGTTGATGTCGCGTTAGGAGCGCTGATGACTTCTGAATCTTGTGATTACGGTTGAGGAAGGAACACATCTTAGTCTTTGGGTTCTAGAGCCTGAAGACAAGGGCTTTTAGTGTGGTTCAATATCAAATTCAGCCTTTAGTGTACTTGGTAACACCTCATTTCGCCGAGAAGGCTAATGAAATGACCTCTTCCAATAAGGACACAAAGAATCCTCGCTGACTGAGACTTGGATAGGTAACCAGTCGGTCGCGAAGCAGTGCTGTTTATCAAAACTGAAGATGCTCCTCGATCGGTTAATTCTACGACTTCAGTGCTATTTACCTAAAGATGTTGCCGGTTACTAGTGCTGTTTATTTGAAGATGTTGACAGTTATCAACACAATGTTGTTTATCCAAACTGAAAGTATGTTGGCAGAAAAGGCTAAAATCTCAATATGTTTGAGAAGTTTCGCATATTTGTGTGTTAATTTGGAGAGCTTTCCTGTTATGTGCCACTTTGCATTTATAGAATTGATGTACTTGTTTATGTGATGTTGCTGTTTTCCGGTCTGAAACCTGATGGAAAAAGAAGTTACCTCTTCCGAACGGGAGAGTGGATGTCACTCTTAATTCGCAGACCTTCATCAAAGTCTGAAAGGATAATATGTTGGAAAATTAATTTTAGTTTTATTGTTATTTCTATTGGGTTTTCTTGTGGGCCGAAAATTAGAATTCTTTGCCCATTAAGTTTATAACTTCTTGCCCGTTGAACTTTTCAAAGTAGAATAAAAAAATGAGTGTGATACAAATATATCGAACTTATAGTGAAATCACACTTCTATGGTGGGGCGGAAAATTTGAGTGTGATACTAATATATTACACTCATGAGTTTAATAAATTAAACTCCTATGGAAGGTTTTAGGGATTAGGGTTTGCTTTAATTTTCTCTATAAATAAGGTGCTTTGTAACACATGGAATAACAAGTCACTCGAAATGTAGTCTTGTAGCCGTGCAATCTCTTTCCAGTTAATAAAATTATATTTATAATTGGTTGTTCTTTCGGTTAGTCAGCTTGTTCATTTATGCGTACTTTGATTTTGAACCTAATATAACTCTGCAGTTTCCTCCAATGCCAATATCAGATGATAAAGAGAAGAGCCAGACATCCGTCATACGCGTGGAATCGTTACTATTAGGTACCTCTATCTTTGTTAATGCTGTCTTAAGTGCTGCTCTCTGTCTCGGTTTTGGACTCTCTTAGCTATGAAGAACTACAAGAAGCTACAAATGGATTTACGGAAGAATTAGGAAAGGGTGTATTTGGAGTGGTTTCAAAGGGGGATGCAAATTGGTTCTGGTGTCGAAGTGGCGGGGAAGAGGCTAAACTATGTTATGCAAGATGTCGAGGAGTTCAAAACAGAACTGAATGTAATTAGTCAGACGCATCACAAGAATCTGGTTTGTCTTTTCGGATATTGTGACAAGGGGCAACAAAGATCACTAGTTTTTGAGTTCATGAGCAATGGAACATTGGCAAGCTTTATTTTTGCTGATATCAAACCAAGTTGGAGACAGCGAATTGAAATCACTTATGGCGTTGCTAAGGGGCTTTTGTACTTGTCAATAGAAAGGATCATAATTCTTCGCCCGCTCTACAAAGAACACAAGGGAGTAGAGAGGGCAGCAATAATTCCAATTCATACATGATAGGCCCTAAACTTCATCAGCACCAATAGCTTAAGCAAACGCATAGTCGCGGGGCTATGTTTTTGTAACGAACTGTATTCTTCATAACAAGAGTAGGCATGGGCAAAATATCCGTGAGTTTGGGTAACCACGGTTATCCGTCCGTTTAAAATTCATGGTTACGGTTATGGATAACCGTTTAGACAAATAAACAGTTATGGTATAACCGTTTATCCGTGGAATTTAAATTGACGGTCATGAGTATTACCCGCAGTTATAAATGGATATCCAGTTAACCGTTTATGTTAATATATGTAAAATTAGAAAGAGAGAAAAAAAAACGAAAACCCTAAATTAATAAATATTTAGGTCGGAAAGATCTTACTAATTTTGAGCTCAAGTTTATTTATCATGCATTGCATGCCGAACATATGTTGGTTGGAAGTTGGAAGGGATGCAGGGCCTCTTGGTCTATTAATTTCAGAGTGACGATCTCAAGTTTAGTGGTGTCTGATTAGTGTTTTCTTCGTCTTGCTAATTGCGGTTATAAATCAATGTTCCATGATCATGTGTATGGATGGTGCTATTAATTAATTTTTAAATTTTAATTGAGTTATAAATTAATGTTTGATGTTCAGGCGCATGGTTACTAAGAAAAATCTCATCGATTCGTTATCAAATATGACAGTATTTAATGGTCAGAAAAAGAAAATTATGATAAATTTCTTTTTTGATTTTCAAGTTGTTATAAAAACATGTAAACGGGTAAAAAAACTGGTAAACGGGTATATGTGGTTACGGTTAAATGGGTACGCGGTTATGGATATGGATATAACCATTTATACAATTACCCAACTAGTAAACAATTATACAGGTAAGAGATTAAACGATTATGGGTAAATAATAACCACAATTACCCGCCCACCATAACTATTTCCCATCCCATTACAAGAGTTGCATACATAAATCACTCTTTCTACGGTTTTGATATAAATCATAACATTACAAAAACAACCATAAATTATATTATATATTCTATATATACTAAAGCTTAGCGGATTGATACTGTTCATTAACAGTGCCAATCCGATTTTGCCCCTGATCTAACGCACGGTTTTTAGCCCTTTAAAAGATGCTACATGAATTGACGATTTTGCCCCTTTGTAGAGTGAGTCTACATATGGGAAGGTGCTCGAACCCTCTCTCATTTTCTTCCGTTGCTTTTCCCTTTCGCCTGCTCTCTGTTTCTCTCTGCTTTTCTCCCTGTTCAATCTTCGTGTTTCCTTGCTTAACTCTCTTCCATTTTCTTCCGTCGCTTTTCCCTTTCTCTTCCTCTCTGTTTCCGTGCTTTTCTACCTGCGTCAATCCTTCGTGTTTCCCTGTTTCTCTCTCTGCGTCGATCGTGTGTCGTATGAAGAGTTTCTTTTCCGGGTGATTGCACTGTTTCAGGTGGTTTCTCTGCTTATATTTTTTTTTGTCTTTTCTTTGATTGGGAAGAAATTTGCAGATCGATCGCTGTAAAATTAAAGTCTTTGCGTTTTGCTCTGATTGTTTCCTTTATTTTATTTTATTTTATTTTTTTTTATGTTTTCAGTGTGGTTGTTTGATCTGATTGGGTTTTTTTGTTTCAGGAAAATTGGTGTGCGAATTTTAGGGTTTTTGTGTACAACCTTGCAAACCCCTTCTGATTAAGGTCTCTGAGTTTTTTCTTTAAAACTTTTCTTCTTTTTTTTTCGATGATTTGTGTGTGGCTGTTCCATCTAATTCGAATTTTCGTTTTAGGAAATCTTGGTCTTCGAGATTTAGGGTTTTCGTCTAGATCGATTGCTCGATCGATGTAAAATTAAAGTCCTCTGTTTTTTTTTTTCTCTAAAACTCTATTTTACTATGTTGTTTCTGTTGCATTGGTGGTGTTTGCTTGGTTTTGTTCTCTGGTCTCAGAAATTGAATATTTTTTTTTTAGTGGTTTCGTGTAGACCTGGCATTCGTGTCGTGTTTTTCGTGATCGTGTCGTTTTCGTGTCAAACCCGATAGCTTAACGGGTCGTGTCGTGTAGCACCTGTTAAAGTAAACGGGTAATATGACCCAACCCGAAATCAACCCGTTAATATTATCAGGTAATATGACTCGACTTGTTACCCGTTAAGAAAATTATATTTTAAATCAATAAAAATGAAAAGAAAAACATAATTTGACCCAAAAAAATGTAAAACATAATACTAAATTAGTATATACATACTAAATTTCGGAGTTGACCCCTTAATGAAAGTTGTAAAACTTTTCATTACGAGTGATTGCATTTTTCACACTTATTATTATTAATTTTTCACTCAAATAAATAACATTGTTCAAGAGATTTGAAGGGTTTTAAAAATCTACACTTATTTATACTTTCATCAAGTATAACATAAGATTTTATGGTATCCACTAGTGTAAATATTTTAAATTGAAGATCGAATTCATTCATTGTATTCATATAGGATCAATGAGTGTAGCTGTAAAAAAAATCATCAAAATCAGAGTTAAAATAACCGTTAAATCGTAATTTTTCGTTTATAACTGTCGAAAAGTTTTGTCTCATTACTTGATCTCTGAATGTTTGTTTTTTTGCAATTTTTGGCGTATGCGATCTCGAAGCATATATAAACAAGTTTGACGGTTGGATCGTTGAAATTAGTTTCGTAGGATGTGTATCCCATCAAAACGATAGATTCACTAACACTTGAGAATTTATTTATACTTTCATCAAGTATAACATAAGATTTTGTGGTATCCACTAGTGTAAATATTTTAAATTGAAGATCGAATTCATTCATTGTATTCATTTAGGGTCAATGAGTGTAGCTGTAAAAATTCATCAAAATCGGAGTTAAAATAACCGTTAAATCGTAATTTTTCGTTTATAACCGTCGAAAAGTTTTGTCTCATTACTTGATCTCAGAATGTTTGTTTTTTTGCAATTTTTGGCATATGCGATCTCGAAGCATATATAAACAAGTTTGACGGTTGGATCGTTGAAATTAGTTTCGTAGGATGCATATCCCATCAAAACGATAGATTCACTGACACTGAAGAGTTTATTTATACTTTCATCAAGTATAACATAAGATTTTGTGGTATCCACTAGCGTAAATATTTTAAATTGAAGATCGAATTCATTCATTGTATTTATATAAGGTCAAGGAGTGTAGCTGTAAAAAATCATCAAAATCAAAGTTAAAATAACCGTTAAATCGTGATTTTTCATTTATAACCGTCGAAAAGTTTTGTCTCATTACTTGATCTCTGAATGTTTGTTTTTTGCAATTTTTGGTGTATGCAATCTCGAAACATGTATAAACAAGTTTGACGGTTGGATCATTGAAATTAGTTTCATAGGATGTGTATCCCATCAAAACGATACATTAACTAACACTTAAGAGTTTATTTATATTTTCATTAAGTATAACATAAGATTTGTGGTATCCACTAGTGTAATATTTTAACTTGAAGATCGAATTCATTCATTGTATTCATATAAGGTCAGGGAATGTAGCTGTAAAAAATCATCAAAATCGGAGTTAAAATAACCGTTAAATCGTGATTTTTCGTTTATAACCGTTGAAAAGTTTTGTCTCATTACTTCGTTTTTGAATGTTTGTTTTTTTCAATTTTTGGAGTATGCGATCTTGAAACATGTATAAACAAGTTTGACGGCTGGATTGTTGAAATTAGTTTTGTAGGATACATATCCCATCAAAACGATAAATTCATTAACACTTAAGAGTTTATTCATACTTTCATCATTTTGATGGGATACGCATTGATGTTATACTTAATGAAAGTATAAATAAACTTTAAGCTTTAGTGAATCTTATCGTTTTGATGACTTGGAATAAATATATTAATTATTTATATATTTTAAGTGTTAATTAAACTATGTTTCAATTAGTATGTGATGATATTTAATAATAAAATTACATTTATGTTTTTTTATTACGTATTTTATTTCTATTCAAGTTAAAATGTTATAAGAGATAAAAAAAATTAAAAAAAAAGCTGGTTATTTTTTTTCTTTGGGTTAAACATTAGGCGGGAAATGGATGGATATAGATTGCAAAATTTCCCAAACATTAAGTGGGAAATAGATGAAACTCTTAAAATATTAGGCGGGAAATTAATTACTATAATTTTTTTATGTTTTGGTATTTTTAAATTACTTGATATTTTTATTTTTAATGTGTTTTATGATTTTTAATCTCAATCTTTGCCTATAATATACTATAAAAATAAATAAATAAATCAAACTTAAATTTTAAAATTTATATAGAATAATAATAGAATAATAATTAATAAACAATATATACATATTCATTATATCTATTGCATTTTATAGTAAGTTTTTTTTTAGTAGTTTAAAAAATTAAAATCATCAAAATAGCATTTTCTTATCGTGTCGAAACAGGTTACCCGCGTGTCACTCTCGTGTAAACCTGTTAAGGACCCGTTATTAACGGGTTATTATCGTGTGACCCGATAATGACCCGATTAGTTATCGTGTTGACCCGAAACCCGTTATTTTCGTGTCGTTTACGTGTCGTGTTAACGGGTCGTGTAATAAATTGCCAGGTCTAGTTTCGTGCTATCTTGAACTCCAAGTGGAAAGCCCAGGGAGCAGAAAATGGACAATCACAATTATTATTGGTTTTTATATTTATTTTAAACTCATTTTAATTAATTATTTTTTCACCAATTAATTTCAAATATGTGGTGAAATGATCATATATAATTAAGTTTATTAGTTTGCTAATTTTTTTTTTGGGTGTGTTTTAGTAGGTGGATCGGATTTGAAGTATTTTTTAGGGTGGGTAAAAAGGTTGAGCGGAGTTGGGAAAATTCCTAAGGTAAAGTTCTTATGCCCTTCTCTGTCTTTTAAACGAAGCCTTTAGGCACACAACTTCGTTTTTCCAAGTTTTTATTTTTTTTTTTGTGATGCTGTTAAGAGTCGATTAGTTTTTAGGCACACAAGTGATAATATGGATTAGAATTTGACGAAATTACACTGATTCAGATGATATTGATCAAAAGAATGAGTTAGAAACTGAAAATTACAATAGTTACAGAGGTTTTTTGAATCAATTTTTTTGTTTTTTTTTACAGTTAAAGCTATTGATTAGTTGATGTGGAAAGAGGTTTTGGTTGATTACTTATGTGCATAATACCTATTAGTCTTTTTTCCTATGTAGCTACAAACTTATCAATTTGATGTCACTATTCATTAACAGTGAATGCATTGCAAGAAATAAATGACAACTATTTGTTTAATCCTTGGTATAATATATTCCACCATAACATGTTAACAATTGTTTTAAACCAACATGATCTTACCCCATTTCCAAACCAAATTAAAAAGTACGGATCAACTCACATGTTAAAAAAATTATAAATTTAAAGAACTAAATTTAACAACCATTGCGTGTTTAGTTTAACACAGATTTTCTCCGTTTGATTGCCAAAAAAATGCTCAGAAATAAAACAACTTAATTTCCGTGCTATTGTTGTGATGGATGTTTATTTTAACTAGCTTTTAAGTTTTTAACTTATGAATTTCAGATCTTCAATTTTAATATTTAAACATTAATGTTTTTTTTAGTGTAGTGGTTAAAGAAGAGTAGAAGAAACGTTCTGTTTATTCCTCCAGAAAAGATTAAGAAAGGTGAGTTGATCATAGGATTTAAATTTTAACAATTCAACTTTAAATGCTAGCATATGATGGTACATTGAAGATGGTATTTCAACTTTGAGTTTTAACTCTTTACTGTTATATTTTTTATTTGGTCTTTGGCATGCCATCATACATAATAACATAACTTAGCATTTACCAAAAGATTTAAACATGTAAACTAACTTAGCATTTACATTTTTCGTTTACAGTTGGTGGTCACAAATCAACTGACTCAACTTTATATCAACATTGGAGCATGCCTTACAAGTGTAAATCAACTTTTTTATTCTATTTTAATAGAATGAATTACGTTCTGAAGTTTATATATTCTGAAACCGTGTTCGTCACTGGAAGTTATGCAGCTATGCAGAGGGATACGTAGTGGAACTTGGATTTCAAAGATCACAGTGAACAGGGTGATAGGTGTATTTCCTCCTTTTTTACCATTTTAGAACTTATATTAGTGATAAATTAATTCGAATAATGTGGCATGAACTTAGAGCTCTGTTTGGGAAAGTGGGCTCTTTACCCCAAAGATGCTTGCTTTTGGTAATATTTGGAATTGTGCTTCTAAGCTGTTTTTCAAGCTTTTGGCCATACTAAATGGAGCTAAGTCGAACAGCTCTTCAGTTGCATTGTAGTTGCTTTCCTAAATTGATTGTTCATTTGTTGAAAAAAATTTAAGGGCGAAAATTATGTTTCAAATTGGATTTAGATATGAGTATTACACATTCAACGTGTTGAATTCATCTTTGTTTTGGTGTTTGTGGTTTTGAATGTCATTTAGTGCAGTATAGCTTTAACTTAAATGTGGTTCTATATATCTCAAGTACTCATTTGGATTTTGAGCAGTAGGAGAGAGTTTAGCACGTATTTGAGGAAATGCGAAGAACTTTTTTTGAAATGGTTAGAGTTTGAAATTCTCAGAAGGAAGCTTCTATGAGTTTTTTGGTTTTTTGCGTTGATTTGAACAAATTCGGTTTTTATATTTATTAATTTTTGTTGTGTGAGTAGTATTTATTGGGCTTGATGTTTTTTTTTGAACCACCAGGTGGTTTGGAGACGTTTGAAATCATAAGAAGACTCGAAGATTTCAGCCAGGTTTGAATCAAATCACCAAATGGATTCTTCTTCCAGGTCATGATTAAATGTTCCCAACTTTTTTAGTTGTATAAAGACTTGGGTAGATAGGAATTTGATTTTAGTCATGTGTTTCACTAATTCTTTGGTAATAGATAAATCTTTATGAACAGTCTCCTGCTTCTATCAATACCCATGGTAAGTTCTTATAATTTACTTTTAACAGTAAGGTCATTTGTGACCAAATATTCTTTTTCAACTTATGCTTCATTTACTCTTCTTTTGCAGCCTATTTTTTCACACATTTAGTCTTCAGTAGATGGGCTAAGCAATTTCCACGTGGCATTGTATCAAATTATCATTGATCGTAGGGTATGGCATTGTCAGCTCATCTTCTATTCACTTTGATCAAATTATTTGTCAGCTATTTTAGTTTTTAATTATGATATTGTTTCTTATTTGGCATCAAGATTAGTGGACTTAAACTTTGTTTATTATCTTTGCAGTACGAAGAAGACCTTAATAATGTAATAAGAGATTACAATATTAACTTGACAGTAAATGATCCGTTCTTTTTTTGGATGCAATGTCCATACTTTAGTGTAATTTGTACCTTATGTTTTACCTTTGTTTTTAAATTAAAATTCCTTAATTTGGTTTTGGTTTGTTCCATAATACATGTGTAAAGATGACCATGTTGTACATTACATATTTTGGAAATTAGACTAAGTAATTTGATCAATCAGAGTAAATATATTTTAGCTTTTCTTACGTCTTAACTGTCAATATATAAACTTAAGGATTACATAAAATTCACAAATTATAACATCAATTGCGAGTGAGCATATGATCCCGCAATGCATAGAAGAACTAAGAATTAGTGGACAATTTTATGCATTGGTGCTTAAATTTCCAAGAAGACGAGCTCCATTTTCTTTTAAATGTTAATTTTGTAATGTGGGTTTGTGTTTGCTTAGTTTTCGTGGTGAGATGGAATAAATTGGTGAAACGTAGAGTGATTTATTTGCAGAAAGGTTTGACCTTTGAATTGGAGCTATAGTGTTCGTTCCTATTGCTACATTGGCAGGTAAACACTCAACTTTTTGTTATATGTTAATGTTGGTTTCGTGCTGCAAATAAGATAGGCACATTGGTGTGTAAAATTGAAAACCCAGTAACATATGGTATAGGAAATTCAAACGAATTAGTAAAGATTTTCTTTTATTGTTTTATGTTGTTTTCCACTATAAAATAAAACTCCTTTATATCCATGGTTCATCACTTGGAATAATTCTCAGTTTTTACATATATTGCTTAATTCTCTAACAAACTCCACAACAGCTTTTGGCTTAGAATTGTTCACAGTTGTCTTCATCTGAAACGAGTCAATCAACTGTATACCATCACCGTCAAACATTGAGAACTTCAGCATGTACTACAAATCTCGATCAAAGCTAGATTAACCTCTCATATGGTATGTAAATTCAATTTACAAAGAAAGCAATCAATGCTTTTTCTTCTTTTTTATTTTTTTATTTTTTATTTTATTTTTTTTTAACAATAATATTAGAACAATAATAACAGGTTTTATCCTGTGAATGTCATTAAAATTTTATCTCCGATATAAACAGGTTTTTGCCAATTGTCATTTTTGAAGGCTATGATAGTTTATGCCATCATCCAGTGTTACTATTTGGAGAAGATTGCTGATCAAAATAATAGGTACCTTGCAGTTTTCTTTGTAGTATATTATTAAATTTATTTAAAAATTGCAAAAATTACCCAATTTCTTTACCAATTATAAAAATCGTTCTTCTTCTTTAACATTCTTATTTATTTGTACTAACAGCTTCTGTTTTCTCAAATCATAACACAGAAGCATGTACATCATCACAAATAAAACAAAAAAATTGGGAAGCGACAGTCAATATAACTTTCAGGTACAAATTATTATGTGTATAAATACAATTGTAAATATTACACCTAATATGAATGCACATATATTTTATATATTTTTTAAACACGCGGCAACGCGCGGGCACTATTACTAGTATATACTAAAACCCAAACTTCTGGTTACTGTTTTAGAGCAGTGTACGGACCAAAATACCCCTCAATTCGTTTGTTAAGCCAATTTTTTGCCATCTTTGCTACAGTAAAATGGCTTCCTTGCCCTCGGAGGCCACGCATTTATCCCCTCCGTCTTCTGGATTTGTCCGCATTGTGCAAAAAGGTGCTTCGGTGTTTTCTCCACTTTTCCTTCCGTTTTCACTTTCCATCGGTCTCAAATCTCGACTTCTCTCTGCGTCTCTCACTCATCTCTCGACTTCTCTCTGCGTCTCTCACTCATCTCTCAGCTCTCTCTCTCAATCTTGAGGTACCCTGCCACTGGATATCGTTTGCCGTTGCCGATCTGCAAGTAAAGCTTCAATTTTTCTTCGTTTCTGGAATTTGGGTGTTAATTTCAATAATTTGTTTCTATTAATTTTCGTCTTTGTTGGTTTTTCCATTTTATCAGGGTGGATTGGTTATCTCTAGGTCCATCGTCGTTTCTTAGTGAGTATTTTTTCACTCTTTTTTTTTTTTTTTTTTTTTTTTTTCTGGTAGTTTTCCGTGTTGAGGGGGGATTTGTGGAATTTTTTTTTTCCCCTTATTCTGGGTATTTTCTTTATATCATTAGATCCACTGTCTGGGTCGATGATTTGTTTGTGTTTTTCGTTTCAAAACGCGTTGCTCTACGTTTTTTGGAATTTAGTTTTTGTAATTTTGGGTGTTTTGTTTACATCCTTAGATCTGTTGTTTGGTTGTATGATTTGCTTCTGTGTTTTGTTTCAGGTCACTGTGCTCTTTGTTTTTTGGGACTTCTGTGTACAAGCTTGGAAGCCAATTATATTCAAGGTAAATAATCTCGGTTTTTTACACATTTTCTGCAACGAATTGTATTTTTTAATATTGTGAAAGTTATGTTTTCTATAGTGTGAAAGTCCAATCTGTGGGATTTATTTATTTTTTAATTTTGGTGTCGTTGCTGTGTTGTTTTATGGTTTTGGATGGTGTTGGATGACTTGGTGTTTCCATTTATGTGTTGCAAAAGATTTTATCTTTGCTGCTGAGCCATATGAGTGGTACATTGACTTGCTGCGCTTCAGGGCTGTCAAACATTGTGGTTTTGGTTTAGGATTTGAACAGATGGTTCTGTTTGCTACTGCTATTGACAACATTAGAGATGTTATTCCTTTCCCTAGATATCCAGGAAGAGCAAATCGTTGAATTATTGAAAGGGATATATTTGAATTAGTTGTTATAGGTTTGTGTCCTTTACCTTTATCTACATTAACAACAATATTGCCCATTTCTATTTCGTATAGCAGAGCTTGATACCAGGTTTGGGTCAGTCTCAATTCCCAGTAGATATTACTTTGTTTTAATTTATTCATCTTTTTTTCAAATTTTTGTGCAAATATTTTTGAAACCCAAATAATTCAAAGTTCAAATTTATGTGTAAATTGATAGATGTGGGTGTGCACCCAATATGACTTTTACATGGTGTTGCTATCTGGTTTTTCACATAATTATATTGGGAACTGTTGAAATTTAGGTTTAGCTGCAGATAAAACAAAATCAAAACATTACAAAGTAGAGGTATAATTTAATTTTTATATTAACATTGGATTAAATGAATATAGTAAGAACATTGACTTGACGTATGTGCCTTTGTTTCATATTTAGAATGGATGTTTTCCTGAAATTTGCTATTAATTGGTTTTGATTTTCCTCACCGAGCATTTGAAGGGTGTAATCTACTTAAAGTAAATAACCCAAACAGTTGAAAATGCACTCACCTATTTTATTGATAACTATACAGAGATTTGAATCATTCAATTTGTGTTAAAATATTGTATTTTTTTAACTTCAATGCTTTCTTCGTTAATTTATATCAGCTTTTTAGCTTATTAGTTGCTTATATAATTATTCCTGTGTTTTTTGTAAATTTACGAAGAAAGATTGCAAAAGATCACTTAATGCTTTGGAAAATTGCTTGGTGATTCTATTTGGTAAGCTTTGAAAAGCCTCATCTTTTTATTCTTCGCTATTTTGCCCTTAATTTGTATTTGTCTCCTTATGCTTGGCTTGGACTTTGCTTCACTTTTTTTTATCGGTTGCATTTGTTTTTGCTACAGTGCAGCACAGTTTTGTCAAGCCCACGTGTTGGTCATTGCGTGGTGCTTTGTTTGTGTCTTATTTTCTTCCATTTTGTTTCCTCTCAGTTCCAACTTTGCTTCGCTGTTGCTCTCACCCGTTTTGTTTCCTCTCATTTCCATCTTTGGCTTGCGATCGGTCTCAAAGCTTAAATCCTTTTTGCCTCACAATTTTTTGCTTCGGGTCGTCGTAGATTTTTGTGCTGTTGCTTTCAGTCGGTGTTTTGTGCAGTTCTGCAGCTTGCGGTTGCTGGGAAAATAAGAAATCAGTGTAAGGTTTTTCTGATTTTTAGTTTGGTTGAAAGAAAGAGTTCTCTTTTGTTGTGTACGAAGATATCAGTAACGAAATCTTTTTCTTTTCCTTAATTTTTTAACCTAGATCATGCTTCAAGCAGTGATAGTAGTAGATTACTAAGTTAATTGAGTGACCATCAGTTTTGTGCTTGAAATAGATTTATAAAAAGTGCATGATGCTTTTGTGGTTTCTTTCTCGGTGAAAAACGGCATGGTAATGCGTGGATACGAAAGTGCCCATACGGAAAAAGTAGATGTATTTTGTTAAAAAACAAAAACATGATTTAATTTTTCTTTTTTATTATAATTTTTTCTATCATTGACAAAGTAATTATTGTCCTCACATGTCTTCATAAACTACTCATGAAATAAACATTGGGACAATTATGGGATCCTCTACTTTGCACCTTTACTTGCACATTTATTTATTCGTATTTAGGGTGTTGATGATTTAGTCAAAGAGTTAGTCAGTGCATGGTCTTAATATGCTTAAATTCTTTTTTTTTTTTTTTTACAATAATTTTTGTTATTCTTTCCCGTTTAGTTCATTTGAATTCGTTTTTAAAGTCCATTTGATCAGTAAGTGTAAAAACTGAACAGCTTTTTGGATGTATTTTATTGGACTTTGGTGGACAAATGTATCTTTGTTGATCAATCTTATCTTTGTGTGGTCCTTCTCTTGATGTTATAAATATTCAAGGCTGCAATTTTTTTCTATCTTTGTGATATTAATTTTTTTTTGGGTCATGATTGCAGGTTTTTATAAAAATTCACCTTCAAAGATTGAGGAAAAATATATAAAGGTTGTTGGTGATCGGTATAAAGACAAAATAAAAAAGTATGAATAAAATGTTAGAAATTATATGATTTGATTTGATTTTGTTATGTACAAAATTCTTTTTATATTTTTCAGATTAAATAGGTTTAGGACTGTATTGGTTAAATCTAATTAAATTTTTGGAATTTTCTATGAACAATATTTTGTTTCATTACAGGGTTTGGTGGTTCTACTTTGGGTTGAGAAAGGAAAAAAAAAAAAAAAAAAAAAAAAAGAAGACAATTTTGTTGGCAATCAATATAAAGACATAACACAAAAGGTATTCTTCAATGATATCATTTGGTTTCAATTTGTGACCTATGATTTGCAATATGAATTAATAATCTGAACAAAATTTGTTTGCGCTTATTATCTCTCTTCTTTCCATATATATATATTTTTTTCCATGTTTGATTTTGAATAAATTAACATTTGTTTCTGATGTAAGCGACAATTTATAATAGATCTTTATGCCCTGCGTTTCTTTTTAGGCTTAATTTTTGTTAATCATATAGTTGGTTTTCTTTATAATTGTCAAGATGATGATTTAATTTATTCATTGTTTTCAAGGCATGGTATACATATTTATATTCTTATTATCGATTTATTTCTATGTGTGTAGTTGCATGGGCTTACTTAGAGAAGCCTGTATTTATCATTTGACAATTTTTTTTATCAGTATTTATTTGTCCTGTATTAGACGTATTTTACAGCATCTGCGAGTTATTGTACAAAAATGGGGTCCATATGGTTTTGTTTTGTATGGAAATCTGAATAGTTTGATTCTAACGTACTAATGCTGACTCATTTTTATTTTTATAGGTTCTCACAAAATTGTGCAACGTAGAATTTTAAAGCATTTGGTTTTGTGGTGCAAGGCTTTTGGTGTTTAAGGCAAGTGCTTTAAATTCTGGAACTGTTTCTTTTAAAGCATAAATATATAATTTTATTTTTCTTTTTACAAGCATTGTTATGTTTGTTATTTTATTTATCCTTCATTCCATTAAAATTCCAATATTTTAGTGTTTTTCTCATGTATTTATTAATTTTGTTCCTTTTTTTTTTACAGCTTAATTTACAACTGTTTGTTTGTAAATTGCTTAGAACAAATTTTTCACACTATGTCTAAAAGAGCTGCAAAAAATTTAACAATTACACCTGTCCAGCGCGAACAAAATACTGTGGATGATGAATATACTGAGGTTTTCAAACATAATCATCAACCAAAAAAAGTGTGTAGAAATATATATATGGAAATTTGTGCGCACGCTCTTTTACCTCAAATTGATGAATTTGTTTCTACAAATTTGTTCTTAGACCATCAGTCTAGCAGCAGTCAATCAGAAACAAATTTGTTCTTAGACCATCAATCTAGCAGCAATCAATCTGGTGGCATGCAATGTTTAGGTCAAAATATTATTCATGGTGAAACACATGTGATTTGCAATCGACAAATTTCTGACCCATATGATAAAAAAGGAAAAAATGTTGTTGATGTCTCAAGGGATGTTGAAAACACAGTTAAAAAAGCTTTACACGTTGAGAATTCCAATCTTATAAATAGAGGTCAAGCATTTTTCCAAAAAAACAGGACTGGTATGTATTTTTTGTCTTATATAATAATTTCTTATCTCAAAATTTTACATTATTTTCTACTTAATGATTTGTTTTTAATATTGATTTTTTAATATATCTTTTTGTATAGGTATTGTCAAAGAGTATGCAGACTTGGGGGATAAAAATTATAAATGTAGTTATTGTGGTGCTTATTTTTGGTTAAAAGAATCTCTTAAACAAACATGCACAAAAAATGAACCCGTTTTTACTCTTTGTTGTCGACAAGGAAAAATAAGCCTTCCAATTGCAAAACCAGCTCCATATTTATTAGATTTATTGCTTGATCCAAATGGAGGTCAAAAAAGTTCATCGTTTCGAGAAAATATTAGAGCTTACAATTCCATGTTTTCCTTTACTTTTATGGGTGCCAAAATTGATCATTCAATCAATGATGGATCAAGTCCTTACATTTTTAAAATTAGTGGTCAAGTTTGTCATTTAATGGGCTCTCTTTTACCTCCTGATAATCAACCTCCAAAATTTGCTCAGTTATATGTTTATGATACGTATAATGAAGTACAAAATCGTTTGAGAGCTGTTGATTCTGATCGAAACAATGGAAGTTTGGATCCACAAATTGTTGAAAGTTTGATTAAAATGTTTGATGAATCAAATGAACTAGTTAAACTTTTTCGCATTGTAAGAGATAAATTTGAAAATGATGGCGTCACTTCTTTAAAAATGACATTGTTAGCAAGGCAACCAACTGATAGCAAACAATATGATCAATCAACAAATGATGAAATTGGTGGTTTAATAGTTGGTGATATAGGACTCTCTGATTCTAATAGAGATATTATTATAGAGTCTAAAAGTGATGGATTAAAGCGTGTTACAAAATTAAATCCAAAATTTATGGCATTGCAATATCCTATTCTTTTTCCATATGGTGAAGATGGTTATAGACCGGATTTAAAATGGAATGAAAATTATAAAGGTCCAAAAACTAAAAGACAAAGAGTGCCTATGAGAGCTTTTATAGCTTATCAAATTCAAGAGCGACAACCATGGTTAACTACATTGTTAAAAGGAGGCAGGTTTTTTCAACAATATATAGTAGATTCTTATGCAACACTTGAAGAAGATAGATTGGATTATATTAGGCAAAACCAAAAAAATTTAAGAACTGAAGTTTATAAAGGAATTTACAATGCAATCACAAGAGGTGATAATGATGCAAATAATGTGGGTCAAAAAATCATATTACCTGCTTCGTATACAGGAAGTCTTAGATACATGATCAATAATTATCAAGATGCAATGGCAATTTGTAGAGAATATGGACATCCTGATTTGTTTATAACATTTACTTGCAATGTCAAATGGCCAGAAATCATAAGAGAATTTGAAAAAAAACCAGGATTCAAACCTGAGGATAGACCTAATATAATTTCTAGAGTATTTAAAATGAAACTCGATGATATGCTTGAATTTATAAAATCGGGAAAGCCTTTTGGAGAAATTGAAGCAAGTAAATATTTAAAACTTATTCTTTTGTTTGCTATTTATTTATTCATCATTATTATTATTATTTTTATGAAACTAACTTTATCTATTTCTTTTTTCTTTTCTTTTCTTTGCTTGCAGATGTTTGCACGATTGAGTTTCAAAAAAGAGGTTTGCCTCATTCTCATATGTTAATATGGTTAAAATCAAATTTCAAATGTTTTTTACCATCTGATATAGATTCCATTATTTCAGCTGAATTACCAGACAAAATTCTCAATCCTAAACTTTATGAAATTGTTAATCAATTTATGATTCATGGTCCATGTGGTCATATTAATCAAAAATCTCCATGCATGAGGGAAAACAAATGTTCCAAAAATTTTCCTAAATCATATAAAAATGAAACAGTTTTTGAATCTAATGGTTTTCCGATTTATAGGCGCCGTGATGATGATACAAAATTTGTGATTAAAAATGGTATTAAAATTGATAATACATTTGTTGTTCCTTATAATGCTGAATTATTGCTAAGATACAATGCTCATATAAATGTTGAATCCTGTTGTCAATCAATGCTTATAAAATATTTGTTCAAATATGTTAACAAGGGTCCGGATAGAGCACGATTAATTTTTCAACACGATCAAAATGATGAAATATTAGCATATTTGAATTGTAGATATATATCACCTTATGAAGCTATTTGGAGATTATTTCAATACTCAATACATCATAGAGAACCCTCTGTTGAACGATTACCTGTTCATTTACCATTAGAACAGAATATTGTTTTTAGTGGTGATCAATCACTTCAATCAATTGTTAGACAAAAAGCTTTTGAACATACGATGTTAACAAGCTGGTTTGAAGCCAATAAAATTTATAATGAAGCGCGTTTACTAACTTATGCTCAAATTCCATCAAAATTTTTGTATGACACACGGAATAAAATTTGGAAACCAAGAAAGCGTAAAGGATCAATTGGTAGAATAGCATATGTACATCCTGCGTCTGGTGAATTATATTATTTAAGAATGCTTTTAAACTTGAAAAAAGGCCCATTAGATTTTAATGATATTAAAACTGTTAATGGTGTTGTGCATTCTTCGTACCATGATGCATGTAAATCTTTAGGATTATTAGGCGATGATAAAGAATGGTTAGAAGCTTTATCAACTGCTGTAAATGTTGCATCATCTCCTCAATTAAGACAACTATTTGTTACAATTGTTTTATTTTGTGATGTTGCAAATCCTCAAATTCTTTTTGATACTCATTGGAAAAACATGTATGATGATATTTTATACAAACTGGAAAAAACTTTAGGAATTCCTAATATGGCTATACCAGAAGAAGAACTAAAAAATTCTGTCTTATTTGAATTAGAATTACTTTTTAACAATGCTTCTACATCTTTGAACAAATATAATTTATCAATGCCTGATGAAAATAAAATGATAGAAATTAAAAACAAACTTTTAAGAGAAGAGTTAAATTATGATTGTGAAGAATTGTCCAAAAAACATACAATTTTAAAATCACAGCTTAACGAAGATCAAAAATATGTATATGATATTGTCATAGACACTGTGCATAGAAAAAAACACGGTCTCTTTTTTGTATATGGTCATGGAGGAACTGGAAAAACTTTTTTGTGGGATACGATCATAAGCAAACTTAGATCTGAGGGAAAAATTGTTTTAGCTGTAGCTTCATCAGGAATAGCATCATTGTTATTACCAGGTGGTAGAACAGCTCATTCCAGATTTAAAATTCCATTAGTTATTACTGATTCTTCAATTTGTCCAATAAAGAAAAAAACACATCTTGCTACATTAATTGAAAAAACTGATTTGATCATATGGGATGAGGCACCTATGAATCATAAATATTGTTTTGAAGCATTAGATAAATCACTTTCCGACATTTTATCACATGTGCAAAATTCAGATAAGAAACCTCCATTTGGTGGTAAACCTCTTTTACTAGGTGGTGATTTTCGACAAATATTACCTGTTTTACCTGGAGGAACCAAAGAAGATATAATAAATGCTTCCCTAAATGGTTCTTATTTGTGGTCTCATTTTAAAATTTTCCGTTTAAAAGAAAACATGAGATTGTCAAGAAATGATTTAAACATTGAAGAAAAAAAGAAAATCAGTGATTTTGCAAACTGGATTTTACAAATAGGTGATGGAAAAATTAACGATGCAAATCATTCAAATGACAATGATACATCATTTATTCAAATACCTGAAGATTTAATAGTTCATCCTTCTACAAACCCAATTTCTTCAATTTTTGAAGCAACTTATCCTAATTTTGAAAATTTGTTTCACAATTTTGTTTACTTAAGAGAACGAGCTATTGTTACACCTCGAAATACAACAGTAACAGAAATAAACAATTATATAATCAATTTGTTACCTGGAGAACAACATACATTTTTAAGTTATGATTCTTTGTGTTCCTCAAATGGAAATGTTGAGAATCTTGAAATAATGTATCCTACAGAATTTTTAAATAAGCTTGATTTTAATGGTTTACCAACACATAATTTAATTTTAAAAATAGGAATGCCAATTATGTTGTTGCGAAATTTAAATCAATCTTATGGTTTATGTAATGGAACTAGATTAATTGTCACACAGTTATTTCCTAGAATTATTGAAGCTAAGATACTTACTGGAAATAACGTTGGTCACAAAGTATTCATACCAAGAATCACTCTTGCAGCAACTGAAAACAAGTGGCCTTTCATTTTTAAAAGACGTCAATTTCCAGTTAGGCCATGTTATGCAATGACCATTAATAAAAGTCAAGGGCAATCTTTAAAACAAGTTGGACTATATCTTCCTGAACCTGTTTTCACTCATGATCAATTATACGTTGCATTATCTAGAGTCACATCAAGAGAAGGTTTAAAAATTTTGATAACAAATGTAGAAAATGATCTAAACA